AAGTTTATAAGTACGTATTTACATACGTATAAGTATGTATAAGTATGTATAAGGGACTGCGGTTGCTCGGTCGTCAGTACCACAGTCTTGTAATCCTGAGGTTGTGGGTTCAAGTCCAGGTTGCGTCAGGAAGGGCATCCGGCATAAAACAATTGCCAAATCTTTCATGCGAGTTTCTGCAGCATCCCCTGAAGAAGGGAGCAGCTAAAAATAAACTTCGTTTTTACTCTTAAATCCTAAGCTTGGTAATGCTTTTCTGCCCTTGTTGTTGAAAATATATATACTTTTCTGAATACAAATTCTCCCACAAGGACTAAAGTTTAATTGGTGTGTCCTTACAAATTGCTGTTCTCCTACAAAAGCAGCTGATATGAACCTAATCAACCAGTTCATTCAGCAAGGTTGAGCATCTGTTGGAAATAATTACTCAAGGTTGTGCGTCACTCCTTAATGTATGATTTGAGTTTTTAAAAACTGATATACACTCATGGCTACAGGCTAGTTATCAGAGCGTTCATCTTTGTATCGGAGCCTGTTTTTTTAGCTTTGCCTTTTATTGTTTTCTTTGCCCATTTTCAGGCTACATCTGCAGCAGTAAGTTGATTCCATCAAGTCAGTACGTGGGAACTGTCCTTGTGTGTCTTCTTGGAGTTGCATGTCTTAGAGGTGAGACTATCTGATTTTCAACTGACCGCGAGGCAGTACCTTATATAGAATATTCATCTTCAGATATCCCATTATAAGCTGTATGTTCTGCACACCAATAAGATCCCATTACAGCTGAGACTGCTGAACATGGTCTATGGCCACAAATCATAGTAAACACACTCTTGAGGCTTTGCAGCAAAAGGTTTGTCTCGCATAAACTCCACTAATCTCTCTTGGTCTTTGCTTCCCTCTTGCCTCCTTTTCCTCTTTCTGCATCTCCCCAAGGGTGGGGGAGATGGAGGAACTCCGAGTATGTTCAATTTATTTCAATTCTTAAGGAAACTAAGAAGAATCACACACCAGAAAACAAGGTAAGACTATTTAATATTTAAGTGCTCAAGATTTTGAGTTAAATCTTAGTATTTTAAATTACAAAAATAAATGAATGTTTTTATAATGGCTAAATATGCTTTGTGTTTTTGGTTTCAGAAAAAACTAAGGTGCTATGACTTTGACTTCCATTACTGGCCTTCAGATTTCAGCTGGAAAGAAGTCAGCAATCCGTAAGTTTTTGTTTACTTCATTTGAAATTACCACTAATTTGTTTTTTTTACTCCGAGTCCTAACAGTCCTAACCTTATTAGACGTTCATAACTTTAAATGACTTAGAAGTACACCAGATAGATGTGGATGCGTTTACAATGCACACAAGTTTTGTTGTTTATTTTTAACTGTTTGTGTGAAAGGAAACTGTCCAAAGGTGGCGTTTCTCTGCTGAAACCAGAGCCCAGGCTGAGAGGAACAGCAGACAGTATTCTTAACTCTGTGCGCACTTTACCATGTCACATCATAGGGTAAATATAAAAATGCAAGTCAGCCCATTAAGTTTGATCTTATAAAAAAAGAAATGCATGTATATATTTGGTTTCGGAGCAGACTTCTACATTTATTTTATTTCTTTTTTGTTATACCACAGTGGTAATATTTATTTTCCTCTGCAGTTTTCTTATTGTTCACTCATTTGGGAGGAGGATGTTGTACCCAGGTTCTGTGGGTTTGCTGCAGAAAGCCATGAGACCAGTGCTGCAGCAAGGCCAGGCTAAGTTAATAGAAGAGGTAAGATAAGAAACATCCTTGCTCACACTTAACACTAACTAAATCAAACTCTTGTCAAGCTCATCCACCCCCCACCCCAACTCCTTCACTCTGTCACAGTTTAACGGCCAAAGGAATAAGCTGGTGGCCTGCGACGGTAATGAGATCGACACGATGTTTGTGGACCGAAGGAAAGACGGGGGCACGAATGGCCAGACTCTGGTAAATGTCAGCAGTGATTTGTTGTTTTTTCTGCCCTGGGCTCATTCTGGAGTCCAACAAAACTCCTGTCACATTTCAGATGGTTCTTAAAATCTGCCACAGGTCATCTGCTGTGAGGGCAACGCAGGCTTTTATGAGGTGGGCTGCATGAACACACCACTGGAGGGTGAGGAATTTTCTACTTTGTAACAGTGTTTTTAGTCACATTTAAATCGTTGAATTTTGTAGATTTTCAAACTGAGTTGAAGTTTTTGTTCCTGTTCTGCAGGCGGCTACTCTGTTTTGGGCTGGAACCACCCCGGCTTTGGGGGCAGCACGGTAAGCAGTGATGTCACGTTTTGTGTTAAATATAAGCAGAGTCACTTTACATTGTATTAATGCTGTCTCATCAAGTTCAAACAAGCAGGGCAGTGGAAAAAAAACAGTATGTGGAAAATCCGGTTTCACTCGGACACTATTGCACAAGAAGCACATCCACTCCCATGGCTGATTAAAACAGCAGGGCGTTTGTTTAAGCTGTTGTAACTTGGTGAGGTTATGTTGTCTTATTGTAGCATGAACATTTTTCTTTTTGTCTGCCAGGGAGTGCCGTTTCCCCAGAATGAGGCGAATGCCATGGATGTGGTGATACAGTTTGCTGTACACAAACTTGGCTTCCAGCTGAACGATATTATAATATATGCCTGGTCCATCGGAGGATTCACCGGTACATTAAAAACAAATATGTTTAGTCTTTTTATAAGAATGGGGAAAAATTCTTACAAAACCTAATCATGACATTTTAATATATTTAATTTTATTTTCATTGATAATTAGTCTCCATTTTTCTTTTGTTCTCCCTCTCTCAGCTACTTGGGCAACAATGTCATACCCAGAGATCCAAGCCATAGTGTTGGACGCCTCCTTTGATGACCTCCTGCCGCTGGCCCTCAAAGTTATGCCTGAAAGTTGGAGTGAGTGCTGAAGATCTCGGCTTTGCCCATCAGAACACTTTATTTCAATAAATCAAGCATCTTTGTTTTTGTTGCATTTTGTCCAGAACCATTGGTACAACACACAGTGAGACAGTACATGAACCTGAACAACGCTGAGCAGCTTCTCAAGTGAGTGGAACGGTGTTAATAGTGAGGAAAGTGTGAAAATGTATTTTTGTTCATGTTGTGTAAATGATGAAAGTAACAGCTCATCTTCTTTCAGGTACCAGGGACCGATCCTGCTGATCAGGAGGACCAGGGATGAAATCATCACCACAACGTAAGTCCCCACTGCCAAACTTAAAATGTATCAAATATCAAATGTGTTTGAATGTTTTCCAGCTTAAATAGTGTCTCCAAGGTGGCTCTGGTTCTTTTTCTTCTTAAATGTAGTGATTCTAGTCTTGTTAGCTGGGTTTACTCTTTCTGATCAGAGTTGTAGTAAAAACAGCACAGCCTTAACACAATGAATATGTCCTTTAAATAATTGTCTATAACCAAGAGCCATTTCTACAGCAAAAAGCCAAACTCCAGATGTGAGCCTTTAAAACAGCAGTCAAGGTCAAGGTTCTTTGTCATTCGCATTGCATGTGGTACATAAGGTGGAAGTATGAATTGCACAAAAGTAGAAAATTAGTATTATTATTAAAATTATTCTGGATCAAATCAGTTTTCTCATCACTTTAAGATGGCATTAATCCCAGTTGGCAGGGTTTTTTTTTTGTGTTATGTCCAAGCTAATCGGTTGTCTGGATGTCTTTTTCTGGTTAAACATATTTTCAAAATGGGGGTCTAAAATTAATGAAAATAAGAGCTAAAATTTTATGTATAGTCAATATAATTCACCACTTTTGCGAAGGGAGGTTCATCAAGTATAGTACCTTAGTTCTGCACATTGTTTGCACTATTACTGGTAAGTGTTTAGTGTATTTCTTAGTTTATATCTTAGATCCTTAGGACAGTTTCTTTTACAGTTTGCATTTTTGCTATTGTTGGCTGTAACTGGGACCCTGTGTACACAATTTCGTTCCACCTCATGTACCACCTGTGATGCAAATGACAATAAAGAACCATGGACTTGAAGCATGATTACTGGTAATTGTTCATTTATTTCAATGGTTTATGATCATTTAGTTTTCTCAAGTTTTTTGTCTCTAAAAAGATGAATGAAAACTGACTTGTGGTTATTTTCCTGATCTCTGAATAATGTTCCCAACAAAGAAATGTTCTTCCTGAATCTTTCAACATATCTTTCCCAGTTCTGCAAGCAGCACGATTTAAATTGAGGTCATCTCGACTATGTGGCACCACACTAATTCTAGATGTATTGCAGGGGTCCAGAGGACATCATGTCAAACCGAGGAAACAACCTCTTGCTCAAACTGCTACAATTCAGGTCCATTTTTTTTCTCCCTCACACATTTAGCCTCAAATTTCTCACTGCTGATGTCTGCGTTTGGACTCTTTAGATTTTTTTTGTAAATACAGGTGTAATTCTTCTTGTCAGGTACCCCAAAATAATAACAGAAGAAGGGATCAGAGTTGTCAGACAGTGGCTCAGTGCCACCAGCCCGTTAGAAGAAGGTAGGTGGAGCCATGTGTACGGTATATGAAAGTTATGTTTGTGAAATATTTCATTAAACCTATATTAACGCCGTTTCCTTGCAGCATCTGTGTACAGTGGCTATGAAGTGGACGATGACTGGTGTGTGTCTGTGCTGCAGTCCTATCAGACAGACAGAGACGTCTCGTTTCCATGGAGTGTTGGTAAGCACCGCCTTTGTTTCCACGTTTACAAGAGCCAATTAACTACGCACAGCACCATCCACAAACATGCATAATGTGCTTACGCAGTCTGATACCCTCCTAATGTCACCAGGTGAAGACATGGCTCCAGAGGGAAGGCGGCAGCTGGCTCTTTTCTTGGTAAGGAATTAAAACTATTAGCTGCACTCCGAATCTCAGTTGTACTCCTGTCTAGTTAATAGGACAGGTACTTCTTGTCTTTATCTCATCCGGAGTGGGATTTTTACACCATCTATTCTTCCATTTCACCCATACAGTGTACAAATATACAAGTTTATTTTCAGATTGACTTGCATCCCACCTTTTTTTGTACTCCAAAAATAAAAAAAATGAGTCCCCACCTCTTCAGAACTCATTACCACTAAGGAACGGTTCTGGTTGCCATAGTAACTCACTCACCTGTGCTCTCGGGTTGACTGGTGTAATATATTTTACCACGCTCGGCTTATTGAAGTCATTTAACATCAAACAAGAGGAGTGCCATCAATTACAGCTAATGCTATGCTTTTCCTCCCCTGGTGATGCCTTCTAAATTAGGCTTTATTCACCTCCCGTGTAAACCCTTAAGAGATGGGGAGAGATTTGTAAGGCACTGAGCCAGATAGAATACAATCAAGCTCTGCACTTTTTGTTCGGCAGCCCTCCCACACATCTAATTCTCCATTCCTCCTCCACCTCTACCCCCCCCCCCCCCTTGTCTTCTCTTTCGCCAAGGCTCGGAAGTACATGCGAAACTTTGACTCGACACACTGCGCTCCTCTCCCTGCCGCAGAGTTCCACTCGCCTTGGAGACTGTAAAAAATATATATATTTTTAAAGGGATAGACGGATGGATGAGAGGAGAAGTAGCAGAGTTGGATGGACTGTGGTCAGTTTGTTCTTGGCATAGTGTGAATGTACTGTTTGGGTTGTTTTGTTCCTCCACATACACAGCCAAAAATGTGTAAAATATAGTATATTTTCTTTTAAGATTCACCCTTTAGTCATTCTGTTCAGTGTTTCTCTTTTAAAAGGATTGCATTTTAAATAAATGCACAAACCATTACTCACTCATTCTATTGTTCTCTTTGGCTGGATTTGTAAAGCAAATGTAAGCAGAGGCGCATGGCTATGATTAAATGAATTTAAAAAAAAATAATCCCAAAGTCATTTTAGAGGAAATCCATCTCTGAAAAATACAGCCAAAGTGTTTAAGCTGTTCAGGTTTTTTCTTTTGTGGGTGCACTCTTTACAAATTAACCCTAAAACGATGCTCTTAAGTGTTCCATTAAATATGCTGAATAAAATTTTGAGATGATGGATTTTTCTTTTTTTGTTCATCACACAAGTACTTACCTAACAGGAGATATAAAAGAGACGGATTAATAGTATATCACTGAATCCCATTAACTGTTGAAAGTGCTTTATTGAATCTTTCATACTACAGTCAATTTGAAAATTAATGACATGAAGAAAAAGTAAAAGTAAATTCTGATTTACATTAACGTCAAATGCAGAAGTTGTCATTCTCACATCATTTTCCTGAAGTTTTCTATGGCTTCTTTTACTTTTTCAAGTTCAGTTTGGCTCTGCCGCAGCTGTTAAGGAGGAAAAAAAAAAAAGTATTATTTACCTGAATTTGAGATGTCTCACTTCTACAGAAACCCAGAGAGTCAATTTCTTTTTCTCACCTTCTCTGCATCCTGCTCCTGCACCTTTACTGGCACCTTCTCCTTGTAGTCACTCTTAGTCATCTTTTCTCTCAACTTCTCCATCTGTTTCTCCAAGTCACCTTGCTTTGCCATCAGCTTAGTCACTTCCTTCTCAACATCAACGAGACCCTGGAAGTTAGAAAGTGAAGAAGAACAACAGTCACCAAATCGATTAGATCTGTAGAGGAAAAAAAAAGATTTTTCCCCCAGATAAATTTAAAATCATCTTCATTGATGATTAGATTGATGTACGTTTACGCTTTAAGGAGTTTTGCTGTACTGTCATGCGCCTCCATCTCATGAAGAGATGGAGGTGAAGCTTATTTTTCTCAAACCTTATAAATGTTTTGCACAAAATCCAGAGACGTCACACTTAAAGTATGTTGTGAATGACTCTGAGCTACTACACCAAATTGTAGCCTAACGTCCGTAAACTTGCCAGAATTAGACGTTTTTGTGTGCTGTCGATTAGCTGTGGGAGCCATCACGAAATTACTACAAAAGTAATCGGTTGTAGATGCACATTCAGTGATTACCTTCTGAAAGTTTCAGTAAATTCAGTGGTTCATGAGATTTTGCTGACAAACGGGATTTACGTCAACAGGTAAAGCTGAAGCAAAGGCAAATATGATGTGCAGTAAGTATTAGCAATAGTTGTAAATGGCTCAGATTCTACCACATCAATATTTAAGCTCTATAACTGTAATCCTGAGTTATAGCATAACGAGCCGATGCTACAGGCTGTTCAGTCCTTGTACAAGCCGTGTTAGAGTTTGGTATACATTGCCGGCAGTAAATCGGACCCCTTCAGGGTGGGAGTTGGACTCCACCAGACCTGCCCATCATCACAGATTCTGTTCATAACTTTCACGGACAGATTTTCTTGGTGCAGCCAGGGAACAGAGGGAGTCCAGTTCGATGGCCTCAGGATTCCATCTCCTTTATTTGCGGATGATGTGATCCTGTGGGCTTCATCGTGCCTCAGTGGAGTGGTTCACAACTGAGTGTGAAGCACCTGGGATGAGAATCAGCACCTCCAAATCTGAGGCCATGGTCCTCAGTTTGGAAAAGTGTGGATTTCTCTCTTCAGGTTGTGAGGTTCTGCCTCATGTGGAGGAGTTCAAATATTGTGATGTTTTGTTCATGACTGAGGAAAGAATGTGGCGTGAGATTGACAGACGGATCGGTGCAACATCTGCAGTATTGCGGACTGTTTGCCGATCTGTTGTGGTGAAAAGAGAGCTGAGCTGTAAGGCAAAGGTCTCCGTTTACCGGTCGGTCTATGTTCCTGCCCTCACCTGTGGTCACGAGCTCTGGGTAGTGACCGAAAGAATGAGATCGTGGATACAGGTGGTTGAAATTAGTTTTCTCTGCAGGGTAGTTGGACTCTCCCTTAGAGATGGGGTGAGAAGTTCAGTTATCTGGGAGAGACTCAGTAGAACCGCTGCTCCTCCACATCGAGAGGAACTAGATGAGGTGATTCGGGCATCTGGTAAGGTCCGTAAGGATGCTCCCTGGGTGCTTTCTTAGGAGAGGTGCTTAGGCCTGTCTGACTGAGGAAGACCCCAGAGAAGACCCAGGACATGCTGGAGACTACGTCTCTCGGTTGGCCTGGGAACGCCTTGGAGTCCTCCCAGAAGAGGTGGCTGTGGAAATGTCTGGACCTCCCTGCTCAAGCTGCTGCCCCTGCGTCCTGACTCCAGAACAATTGGAAGATAATGGATGAATGGACCGAGTTATAAACATTTTTGTGTTTTTTAAGGTCAGCGGTGGTGGTCATCTAGACTTGGCTCAATAAGCTATAGATGTACATCCAATTATTATTATTTTTCATGTTTTGTGAAAATCCCTCCACCGATTCATGAAATATATTTCACTAATGCAGTCAAACGAATGAAGATATTATCGCCACTTCGCCTTTGGCAGATTACTGGTTTTATACCTTGAGCATAAGGTTGACAGTACATCTTTCAGAAGCAATAGCCATGGCGCAGCCTTCTGGGACCGGCTGATTGGCTGTCAGAGGGATGACGTCCTGACAATAGGACAAAGTCTGAATCTGTAGCGTGTATTTCTGCACCAGAGACACAGTTGCTGCGTCTACACACTGAAGGTAACCTAGGAGAGAAAAATATAAATGTGAGGAAGCAAAACTCATTACAATAAAATGGGGAATAAAGGCTGTCTTTAAAAACAATATGGTTTATATAAAATTTTAGAACTAATGTCATGTCTAAAAAAAATGTAGGCAATAATATGGTAGAGTTGAAGAATAAAGGACAGAAATTATATTAAGTGCTTTAACCTAAGTAGCAGTTAACTATACAATTACTTCCATCCCTTTTTTATAACAGTGAAAGCTACTTTTACTGTTTCAGACACTAAGTAACAAAGACATTGAATAAAATGTTAAAAGCTTGAAATAAAATTACATTAAAAAAGGTTTTAAATTCATTTTTCTGTCATCTTACAGTCAGCTTTGGTCTTTGTCAGGTTGTAGTCAGCCCTGAGTGATCGGATTGTTTTGATCGTCGTCATAATGAACTCCATTTCACGATCAACCTCCTCGCTGTTCCAGCAAAACTACAAAAAATAAAATTAAAATAAAAACAGAAGCCAAAAACAATAATTTCACTGTTTTATTGACTTTAATATCGTACCTCCTTGGTGTCGGGGTACGATGTCACACAGATGCTGGGGGGATCGGTTAGAGGCTGTCGTCGTGGTAACCTCTGGTAGAGTTCCTCAGTGACAAAGGGCATTATGGGGGACAGGAGGCGCAAACCAACATCTAAACAGGTGTAGAGGGTCTGCCTGCACACCTGGGCCTGTCTCTGGCAGCTGCTGTCCTCCTCTGCTTTAATAAAAACTGGTTTCACACTTTCCTGGATAACAAAGAGTTTATTATGACGCCACATAAAGAAATACGTCCTCTAAAAAATAATACTAGACTCCAACTGGTCAGTGTCTCAACGATGTCTCTTACTAGGTAGACGTCGCAGAGCTCGTAGAGCCAGAAGTTGTAAATGGAGGTGGTGATTGATGGAAAATCATAGGCTTTGAAAGCGGCGTCGCAGAGGGAAACCGCAGCGCTCAGCCTGGACAGGATCCAGCGGTCCGATACGCTCTCCTCTCCACACAGCTGAGAAGATGGAGGGAACATCATGAGGACGAAAGGTTCAGATCCATCAATCCATACCAACCAACTGTTTTTGCAGAGGTGTGCCTAATTTTTTTTCATTTGGGTCCATTGGCAAAGAATTTTAATACACCAAGGTTTTTCCGCAGCTTCTTAAAGTGAAAGACTGATATTTGAGACATGGTGTTCTGTTTGAGTCTCCATTCTGAAAGTTTATGCTTTGTTACCAGCTCGGATTTGGATGCATTCTTTGCAGGAAATGCAGCGAGTGCATCACATTGACCATCTGGACTTTTTGTGAAAAACCAGCTGCTGCTTTTGCAAAATATTCTTCATAAGCTTGGCCAAGGTTGGAGGGTCAGATGGAACCTCAACTGACGCTGTAACCGTTGTACGGTCAGGATTATGGTTTAGTTTCTTTCTATTTAAATGAAAAATATATAAAAATAAGTGACTATTTTTATCTTGTTGATATGTCTAGCACTTATTAGTTCTTCAGAAGGGGTTGTGTTGCTGCGATACATAATTTCAAACACATGCAGGAGCTCTGTCTTTAGGGTCTTCCTCGCTCTGGCCTTCGGGGGTAAGGGGATGCTTCAAGACGGAGCACTTCAATAAGTGAGTTTAAGAAAAAAAAAGAAAAGATGTGAAAGGTTGGGGGCACTGGTGTGACCAAGGAAAAGAAATTGTCACACCTGACAGATTTTAAGGTGCACGTGGGAGCAAATTGGTCACACTCTGGAGCCCTGTCTATTCAACATAAATCAGAGCTGTCAGATTGTAGGAGTCTGTTCTCCCCTACACGTCTTGTTATCTGGTCTCACCTGAGCTTTTTCTGTCGGTACAAAGTCGTCTCCCAGTGTCTTCATGGCAAACTTTACAGCATTCCACAGTTTGTTGCAGAAGTAACGGTACCCCAGGATACGGTTGACATCCAGGTTGATATCTCTACCTGGTGCAAAAAGACACGCATGGTGAGACTTTAGACCTTCTTTACTTTCCCCGTTCTTAAGCAAATACAAAGAAATCAAGAAGTCAGGGCAGAAATGCAGCCAGTAGGTAGTAATGGATAACAAACGAGACAAATTAATTCACCTTGGCTCGTGTAAGCGCACAGTGCAAACCGGAGAGCATCTGTTCCACATTCTGGGATACCATTTGGGTAGTCTGCCTTCTGGCCTTGCTTCGCCTTCTCCACCTCTAGAGCATCCAAGTTGCTGTCCATCAGTTGAGCATGAAGACCCTACAGGATGTACAGATTAAAAAATAGGAACTTGAGGATGTTTTCAGCCATTTTTCTCTCTCGTTTTAAGAATAAAAAGCAGCTGCTTTAAAGTTTAACCAGGAAAGAACTTGTAAAAGGGAAACAAAATTAAGGAAAAGTGTACTACAAATCATCCAGTGCCCTCTAGAGGACATGTCTGCTTCATCTGACTGAACCGCTGCCTCTCCACTGCTGCAGAGATTGATGGGCTCAATAAAAGCTCATTGAAGGCAGAAGTAGGTGGTGGGTAAAGCTTGTATAGGAATATGGGCTTCCTGGGACCAACAGGAGTGTGATGAACATGTAAAAGATAACCTGACTGGGAGACAGAAAAGTGCCTGAGCACTGATGTTGATGTGTTTGTCTTTACCTCCAGGGAGATCCCTGTGATAACATCCAGCGGGTCAATGACGTTGCCCAGAGACTTGCTCATTTTTCTTCCGTGAGCATCTCGTACCACCGCATGCAAATAAACCTGTTAAACAAATGTGAAATTAAAGGCCTGGTATTCCTTAAAAGAATGCATATTGCTTGCCACCTATATCTTATGACTAGAGAGGAGCAAAGAATCTGTTGGGGAATTACTTTCAGATACCAAATTTTAGCTCAATTTGTAACTAAATTGTAGCTATTTTTGTGTTTTCTAATGTCCCTTAGCTACGGTGGCCATCTTGAATCTGGTTCTCCAAAAATTAATCAGTTTTAGAGATAATACTAATGATTACTTGATGGGAGCTTCATTAAAGTTTGTCGGGTGGTTCGAGATATTCTATTAACAGACAAAAGAATAAACACTTTTTCGCCTTGGGCAGCAGGTGATAATGATCCAGTAGTCTGATTATCTTGGTTCTTGTTGCAAACTTGCATTTTTGAGTGACCTCACCTCTTTGAAGGGCAGTTTTCCTGTCAGTTTGAGACCCAACATCACCATTCGGGCAACCCAGAAGAACAAGATGTCATGGCCCGTCTCCAGCAAGGTGCCAGGGTAAAACACAGTCAGGTCCTCGGACTATAGGAAAAACAACAAGCGCCAACATTCATGAAGCAAATGTATCAACACCCTGAGTTTCAAAGTCATACTTTACGAGGCTCGCTCAGAGCGGGTCATAGACGCGGACGTAAACCAGTTTAATATATTAATAAAAGTTACAAGTGAACTCAGAATTGAGGTGACGGTATTCCCAGTTTATAAGCTTTTTAATAGCTTTGTTTCTGCTGCAGAAAGGAGTGGACTTCTTGCACCTTTCGCATCTTTGAAAAGTCTGTTGAGCTCAAGAGTTTTACCTCGTTAGGCCAGCCGAAGATAGAGAAGGGGAAAATGCCAGACGAGAACCACGTGTCCAGAACGTCCTCATCTGAAATGCAGGAACAAAAAGTTACCTACTCTGCATGAATAAGGAGAACGAATTTGATTTGATTAATCCGTGTGTTGGCATAACCTGAAGTAATTAGGCACATTAAAGAAACAAAACGTGGCACTTGGGACACCAAATAGGGACATCTTACCCTGCTGGAGGGAAATCTTGTCCACGGTCACGTTGAAGCGTTTCGCTGCCTTTTCTTTAGCCTCCTCCTCCGATCTCCCACTCACCCAGTAATGACCATCTATATCCTGAAGGGAAAAAAACAGAAACCAGAGGGGAAATAAATCAAACAAAGGTGTGAGTAATCCTGATGCAAATGGCTTTAACCTATCAGACTCTGACAGGTTAAAGCCATTTGATAGAAGAGGCAGAAGTTACCTCGCCTGGTTTCACAGAAGGATCGTTGACAGTGATGAAGTAAGCAGGAATACGGTGACCCCACCACAGCTGCCGAGAGATGCACCAGTCTCTAAAAAAACACAAATGGGCAACATTTAAAACAAGACCCTGATCACACAAAGGAATTTAAAAATTAATCTAGTGGATTGTTTAAATTTTTTAAAGTATACAATTACTGACAATCAGCAACATCCAGTTACGACTCTGGCTTCCTGATTGTGATTTGTTGCTTTAATGTGTTTTAAATGATTGGAGGTTAATTATGTTTGTACTGCTTCACAAACAAAACTAATCTGAAACCATCACCTTGGATTTGACATCAGCTGATTGGCATTCTGCACAATTTTAATAGATTTTATGAAATAATTAAGAGAAACTTTCTGGAAAGATACATTAGTTTTTACTTAGTTCACTACGGCAAAATGTTTAAGATAATCAGCCATTTTTGAGGACAACCCAACTTTCTTAACTCTACTTGTATCAAAATGTACATGTTAAAAGGCCAAATTGTAGATATTTTATGCAACATTAAATTGAGAGTTTGCAACCTTTACAACTCATCTTTTCCCACAAAATAAAATTCATCCAGAGCTAAAAAACCTACCTGAAGGCTGAAATGAAGAGAAGTATCTGGATTAAGGTTCACTAAATTTTCACTATTACAGACTGAGTTTTTATTTATGAAGAACAAGCCTTTACTTTCAAGTCTGTCTCAATGAATTGGCTTTTTTTGTTTTTTTTGCAAAATGTCTTACTTCAGAAACAGGTTTTGTCCTTGTCTTAATATCAGTCTGTTAATAACAAGGTTGAGTAAGGTCCTCTATATGGATTCTTTGTTGAAATGTTTTGTCTTTTATCCAAAAGACTTCTTCAGTCTAAGGAGCTGCAACAAACTCAGTCTTATAAACAGAACCTTCTCACAATGAATCAACCAGTTTGCTGGTGACAACCAAAACTAGTTGTTCACATGCAAAAGGAGGACAATCAACCTAACAATTGAGCGTTGAAGCCCTGATGGCTGCTTATTATTCACAGGGTCTGAGTGATACTAGCAATAACAGCATTGTATGAGGGGAACAAATGAACATGGAAGTCTCTGCCCCTGTTTAACGATGGACAAGTTCTCTTCACAAAGATGGCCTCCTTTACTCCTCTCTCAAACCATCGTTCCTCTCTGTCCAGGATGTGAACATCTTCATCCCTGAAAGAGTGACCGCTGGCCTGGAGATGAGTGTAGACCGCAGAGTCCTGGCCTGATGATGTTGCTCTTCTGTGCTGGGCCATCCTTTTGGCCAGTGGCTGTTTAGTTTCCCCGATGTAAAACGGATCACAGCCCTCCTGACACTGAACAGCATACACAATATTTCCCCGTTTGTGCCGGGAGACTGGATCTTTGGGATGAACCAGTCTTTGCCGTAATGTATTTTGGGGTTTAAAAGCCACTGGGACGTTATGTTTAGAAAATAAACGTCTCAGTTTCTCCGATACTCCCTCAACATACGGAATGACCACTGGTCTGGGCTCCTCCTTTTCACCTGATGGCTGACTGGAGTCCTGTTTGAGTTTCTTCTCTACTTTCAGAAAGGCCCAGTTAGGATATCCACATAGAGCCCGTCTTGGGTGGGATTAGCGAACAACTACTAGTTTTGTCTGTCACCAGCAAACTGAGTGACCCACTATGAGAAGATGTTGATTATAAGACTAAAGGTCCCAGCATACTCCATCTGAAGCCAAACAGTCCACCTGCGGTCATGTGATTGTGGGGCGTTAGTGTTCGCACACACCTTTCATAGTCCATGAGACATGGACGTAAAGCTCCTGGGAAAAACCCTCCCCCTGCAGTATACATCACCACGTGGGTTTCTTTCAGCCAGAGTCTCCACGCCGTCCATGCCTTCTCCATACACGATGTCTGCACGATTTCCATCCAGGAGTTTTTGGCCATTTGACTAATTTAGTGTGTTTGAAGATGTCAGAGCGCATTTCCGCATTGACGAGCATGCCCACGAACTTCTGATCAATCACGCAATAATTGGCGCATACACCTGTGAGACAAAGTTTGACCAAGGCCTTGTGTTGAGAAGGGGCGAGCGAAGCTGCTGCTCTGTGAACAAAATGACGCAGTTTTCGTAACGCAGCTATGACGATAAGAGCCGATTTCAGCACTTCGGATGAAGTATGGAGGACCCTTGAGTTTGTTGCAACTCCTCAAACTGAAGAAGTCTTTTTGATAAAAGACGAAACGTTTCAACAAAGAATCCGTCCAGAGGACCTGACTCAACCTAGTTAGATTGATCTACCTGGATTATTGAGCAGCATCATGACAGTCCGTTACATTATATTTGCATATTGGATTAAAAAAACATAAGATAATTGCTACAAAAATCTTTTCCCGTCATGGTTCTAAATGTAAAAATTCATCTCCACATTATTTTTAGTCAAAGCTACAAAAAGCCACTCATGGTTCCCCGCCACTAAAACTGACCGCAAAAAACCATAAATACGCAGACTGGTTCTGGAACAAAGAATAAACACAGAACGTGAGCGACAAAAAGAGGTAATTACCTAATGTTGTCCATCCAGTTGAACCAAGTCTTGAGGTGGTGATCTGGGATGATTTTGAGCTTGCCTTCTCTGACGACGTCTGCAGCCTGTTTACCCATGTCTGTGCAGTTTACGTACCACTGCGGCTTCAGCAGTGGCTCCACAATGTCCTTGGAACGGCTGAAGGAGCAGAAACAGACTGGTTTAAAATCTCATCTAAAACGAGTTGTTATGCTGAACAAAAAGACACAAACCCAGTTACCTGCAGACTGGGACAACCATGGGGTTGTCTTTGACCTCTTTAAACTGGCCTCTGTCCTGGAGCGCCTTAAGGACGGCGTTTCTGGCTTCAAATCGTTTCATACCCTTTGAGATAAGACAGAATAGGTAAAAATGGAATGAGCGTGAAAGGAAATGGCTTCCTTGAAGAAGCCTGACTCTTGGTGTCACAGCAAAAATGCCCAGACTGCAAGAAGGCGGCTAATGAGACACCCTTACCAGGAAGGGAGGAGGAACGTTAATAAGCAGGCCGTTCTCATTCAGGATGTTGATGAAGGCCAGATTGTGTCTCTCTCCGACCTCGTAGTCATTATGGTCATGAGCCGGGGTGATTTTGACAGCGCCTGAGCAGAAAATGGTGACAAGGGACAAAAAAAAAAAAAAAAAAAAAAGAACAACTAATGAGGAAAAAGGTTTTGCTTAATGACTTGAAATCATTAGTTCTTCATTTCACTGCAGAACCAGACACGTCACATTTGCTGGTGACCAAACGTACCTGTTCCGAAGTTCATGTCCACAAACTCATCAAAAACTATGGGCATCTTGCGCTCACAGAAGGGATGCAGCACCATCTTCCCCTTCAGGTGCTGATATCTGGGGTCAGCTGGGTGGACAGCAACAGCCGTGTCTCCCAGCATCGTCTCAATACGAGTTGTAGCCACGATCACCTCCTCGTCTGAGGAAAAGAACATGGTTATTAAAAAAAGCACACAGTGTCTCGGCTGAAACACCCCGTCCTGCTGCGGTTCAGATACCTGATCCATCCACCTTGTAAGCAAAAGACACCAAGACCCCAAACTCGACTTTCTCCTTGTAGCCGGGAACAGGCAGCAGAGTTCTGCCGGTGAGCTCTTTTTTATCCACCTGAAATACAAAAAGGTGATTTCATCACGAGAGGACACCGTGACCAGAACTGGCAAAGTGGATCTGTCAGTGTTAAGCCCCGTAACAAGGTGAAATTTCTACCAATCCACTAAAAGTGAAACTTTCACATTTGAGCAAAGGAAAAAAGTAGACAGAAACATTTTTTTGTAACTCTCTACAGAGAGAAAAATGGGTTTAAAACTGGCTAATAGACAGACGAGAGATTTTATCAATCTGAGCAAGAATACAAAAAAATGACTGTTTAACCAATTTCTAAATAGTTTAAAGGACCAAACTTATCAGGTCATGCAGAATGACATTTTTACCAAATGCTTTTTATACTGGCACGTTCTGAGACAGAAATTATGACAAAGTCACAAATTAAATGTGCCTTCAGTGAAAAACAAACACAAAGGCTGAAACTTGTCAGATCCAAGAAGCACTGCATGAACTTTAATGAAATATTCATTGGCTGTACGTCTAAAGCCGATTAACTTTGGACACAATCTAAAGAAAATGGCTGCCATAACCAACCATCTTTAAATAATAAAACAAGAAATGGCTGTAATTTTCTCAATATAAAACAGAGGTCAAATTTGGTGTGGTTGTAGCTGAGTCATTCACAATACATAAAACTGCATTAGCCATTGTAGTTAACCGTAACTGTTAGCAAAATATCTCACAAACCAATGGACAAATTTCACTGAAACGCAGAAGGTAATCACTTGATGTACATCTGCAACAGATTATCTTTTGGAGTCAGCCCAACTAAAGATGGCTGCCACAGCATATCAACATCAGCCAACATAAAAATGACTACAACTCAGTTTTACAGATCTTGTGCTAACATTTTGTGTGGTAGTAGATGAGAGTCGCTCACAACACAAACTCCGAGTGCGACATCTCGTGATATCACGAGATCAAGCTCAACATTAAATTCAAGGTTTGACCAAAACGGCTACAACTCTGTTGTTTCTCAACATAAGATGATCCTAGTCTAAAACTCCGGCATGAAAGGAGGCAGACGATCTTCTTTAATTATTTAAATGCTGCAGCTACAAATAATACTATTCTTTACACACAGATTACAGGAAGAGTAACACTTCACTGTTTAAATTCTAGAAATATGTTGTATAAAAAAATGTCAAACTGTAAAAAAATGGCCTTACACTTTCCATAAAGTCAAATTCGAGTAGTTTAAAGCTTTTTGTGATTTTTTTTTTGCCTTTAAGCTTATTGAAATTATAAATAAGTACATATATACACATATACTCAAAAGAATGACTACATTCCATACAATTTAACTCTTCTAATAAAAGATAAAATAAATAAACCAAAAGTATGTTTTCTGACATCTACAGATGTGTAAAAAAATGAAAGACAAATACAATAAAGTTACTTAATGTGTCACTTATCTTAATAAAAATAAGACATCCTGTTAACAGTTCATGCCAATAGGAAACGGATACATTTCAACCTTTATTTAGACAGGTTAATCCCATTGAGCCTCGGGGACTCATTTACAAGAGAGACCTGATCTCTTTAACAAAGTGATGACAACAGTGGACAACAACGACAACAATAAACAATCACAAAAGAGGCATAGAATTTTTCTTTTTAACAAATAAAATCAAAATAGCAACCAAAAGGACAGTCTAAATGAAAAATAGCGAAAAGAAAGAAAAAATAACAGCTAGATTATAAGGCGGTGTCGAAAACTAAAAACAGGAACATGTCTGCATTGGTTCTTGCCAGGAACTTAACAGAACATTACGTTAGCTTTAACTAATTCCAAGTTAGAAATGTTGGACAAAAGTGCATTAATCTTTGTCAAGGACCATATTTCAGCTTATGAAGCCTTTATAAAACTGTCCAGAGGACCCGACTTCACTTTGTTAGATAGTTTGAAGCCTGTCTCCCTGTGTATGACCCTTGCCTGTTCTCAGACTAACCCAATGAGTTCTGGACAGATCCAAACTAAGCAACAAGCCCACTCTGGACTCTGCTTTCATGGTGACTTCACTACGGTCTCCATCTGCCCCAATCCTCTACCTGGGGAAGTGAGTTTAACCACTGGATCAAGTCCCTTGATCTAAGCTCTAAACAGAAGGTGAGGGATCACTGTATACTAATCCAAACTGAAGAGCAGAAAACTGCTACATGGGCAGTTTTGCAGAGGCTGTGATGCGTTCTGTCATCTTCATTAACCAAAACTACTTTTTCTTTATTTAGAAAGCAAAGTAATAAATCTAATAATGTATTTATGATATTAAAGCATTTTAAGCGCAACCCTGTAAATATCAAACAAATATTTACCATTTCAAATATGGCAAAGACAGTAATCATTTTCATCAAGATTATATCTAAACCCCTCAAAGCAGCACGTTCTTATAACTACCAGAACAGCGTCATATCAGAAGTACTCTTCACAAATGTACAAGGTGATCAGTCACATTATAAGCCTAGTTTTTTTATTTCATATTTAAGCAAAATGCCACAAATCTGTGAGGAAACTTGCCTCTATGTCAGAGATGGCAGAGTTTAGTGTGCAGGACCAGTTGACCAGCCTCTTGCTCCGGTAAATCACTCCCTCATCATGCATGCGGACAAAGGCCTCCTGGACTGCATAGGACAGTTTCTGAATCAAGAGAAAAGAAATTAAAAAGAAACCCACTCATTTATTCTCCAGGTTTTATTTAGACCAAATGTGGGTGAGAGATTTTGAAACACTCACAGAGTCCATAGTGAAGCACGCCCTGTCCCAGTCCAGAGAGGATCCCAGTTTCTTCAGCTGGTGGTAGATACGGTCTCCCTTCCTACAAAAATCTAACATTTTAGGCGTCTCCTTTAAATGTTAGTTTGATTCTTACTTTGCCTACTCACTCATTCTTCCATTTCCAGACATCCTCGATGAATTTCTCTCTGCCCAGATCGTGGCGAGTCAGACCCCTCTCTCTCATCAGTTTTTTCTCCACCACCACCTGGGTGGCGATGCCGGCGTGGTCACAGCCCGGGTTCCACAGGGTGGTCTCCCCACGCATCCTGTGCCTGCAGACAGGAAGATAAAACCCAACTCATTCAGCACGCACATTTGTCTTTCGTGAATAAAAGCCACGCTGAAATGTGACTTTATATTTCAGATTTATGAACAGGGCGGCTGTAATCACCAGCGGGTCAGACAGTCCTGGATGGCGTTGGTCAGAGCGTGACCCAGGTGAAGTGATCCAGTCACATTAGGAGGAGGGATGCACATCATGAAGGTGCCATGAGGATTATTCTCACTAATTCTCTTCCTCTACAGAATATAGTTAGAAACAAGTTATTGCAGGTAAAGATGATCAAATCATTAAAGCTGTTTTCTGTTGCGTAAATTTAAAGTTAAGTGAAGGATTCTCTTACACCATATTCAGGCTTGAAGAATCCCTGCTTCTCCCACCACTGGTACCACGCAGCCTCCACATACTGAGGACTGTAGGAGTCAGGAAGTTTACAGATGACATCTAAAACCAGCAGAGACGGAGAAAAGTTGAATCTACACCCCAAGAATATCAAGTAAAACCTGCTAAAACTGTAAAACTATCTTACAGAACTAAGAAACACAAGCAAGGAAACAGTTTAAACAAAGATGAAAGAGAATTTTTCCATTAAGGTTAAAAATAATTCTGTTTTTGTTCAATTACAAATTTAATCACAAAGTGAACTTCACATTACACAATAAGTTAGAGAAGCTGATCTTTTGAGAAAACTTTCTATTGCATTCAAATATTTTAGGCATTGTTTCTGAATATTATCTGATAACAGCCACGGTTAATGAGGCTGTTTGCAACATTCATATCAATGTATAGTATGTATACATGTACTTTATTTGACTAAATAAATTCAATCAGTTTATACACAGAGATGGTATGTATAAAACCCTATATTACATGCACTTTTACTCAAAAAGATCTGAGTAATTTTTCCATTGTACTTAAAACTAAAGGCAGGAAGGTACCAGAGTTTGTATTCATGACGACATCTACAGTTCTATAAAGTATATTGTGTGTACATTTGTAGCTACTACTTCAAAGTAGTTCGCTATATAAGATAAAAGGTATCTGTGATTACTAAACACAATTTTGCAACAGTAGCTTCAGAAGAAGAAACCTTGAGAAAAGGCTAAGCAAATACACAACAGATGAAAACCAACATTTTAACACATTTTACCATATTACTACTGCAGAAACTAAACAAAACAAAAAAAACACCTCAAGTGTTTTTCTCAGCAGTTTTTATTTACTGAGCTACAATCAGTAATTCTCAAATCTGTGTGGTTCAAAAGTGTCCTATAGGACTAATCACCTTTTTTGTCTCCAGCGGCGGTGGGGATGTTGTATGTAGTCACTCCAAGCTCTTTCTTCTCAGGTTTGGCCTTTTTCTATGTGGGAAAAAAAAAAGGTTAAGAAAACATAAACTTACATTTAAATACATAAACAAATAAATAAAGTGTAACAGTCGTTCGTTACTATGACCTTCAAAACAACAAACGTTTTACAAGAATTTCATTTTTTTCAATGAAGCCTCATACCTCTGTTGGTGTTTGAGTCTTTTTCTTTGCCTCTATTTCCTTTTTCTGTTGGAACTTTTCCAGCTTTTCTCTCTTCTTTGCTTCTTTTTTCAGCTGTGCCTCCGTCTTTGGTGGACCTGCAAAAAAACCCCAGACCAAACTGAGTTTTAATAGTTCGTTTAAATGTAGCGGCCCACAAAATATTGCACAAATACTTATGAACGCTTAATGAGATTTGTTTACCATTAGCCATGGCATTGGTACAGTCCACTGCGGGACTGGTATTTGAAGCTTTTGTATTTCCAGCAGGACTTGGTTTTTGCGTCACTGATCCCACTTTCTCACAAAGTGCAATCTGCCCCAAAACCTTCAAGAACTGTGGCTGATTAATGCAGGTTGTGAACCATCTGGTAACATTGATTACTGATTTCCTGTCTGAAGGTTCTAATGCCTGAAAACAAAACAAAAGCGACAACAAAACATGTAAAAGCAGCAGGAGAAAGGACTTCATGTAAATGTGTTGCACAGCATACATACATATTTGAAGGGTAGAAGAACAGCTGTAGCTACAGCCATATCAGCCAGGGTGATGCTCTCTCCCACCAAGAAAGTTCTTGGTGCCAAGGCCTGATCAAGAACCTTTAGAACACGCATGAGCTCTGCTCGAGAACTCTGCTGGACCTGCAAATACACAAAGGTAAAAAAGAAGACTTTAGTAAGTTTCCTGATGCATGCTCAATAATATTTAGTTAGTTCACACATAAAGTCAAGATTATAAATGTTTCAAGGGTACCTTTTTGTCCACTCCCATCACCCCCATCAAAGGGAATGTCACAGCACAGGAAACAGGGATGAGCTCATTGTCTGCAAAGCTGAGCCACTGCCACACCTGGCTCTGCTGCTTTAAATCAGAACCTGCCCTCTTCTCCTGAAAAGCCAAGTACCAAGCGACAGCACCAGCCCCACTCAGGACTGGGTCACCCTGTCCTGCAGGAAGAACCATGACTGGTCTGGAGTGGGCATTCAGAGAAGCTGGTGGGTCCTCTGTGATGATCTGCGGCCGAGAGGATGGACAAAACTCTGCAGCGATGAGAGCCAGGAGACTCCTGAAGTCATCAGGGTGGGGGGACACATACAGAGTGGCCATCTCTGCAGGAAACAGAAATATGTGCAAGGTGAGCTGGTTTAAGGGCAGTTTATTCTAATACCAAGATCAATGAAGGGTTTAGCACAACATGATGTACTAAAGACAACAATTTTCTGTGAAACTGAAAGATCAAAGCTTTGCACGTTCAAGCCGAGCAGCACCAGCCAGACTTGAGCAAAATAAGTAGAAACTTGTAAATAAATCAGATAAAATTAAAATGTTGTTAGAATACTGTGACTACCCAAAAAACAGGATTTATGACGGAATGATTTCGAGCTCGTTTCGTTTTCACGATCTGCAGCTGATTTTACCACCTGTCAACTAAAGAAGTCAGAAAGACAAGCTAGCTAGTTTTAGCTTTTCTGTCCAACTAAAGTAAACCAACATTTTCTTTGTACTTTTACTGTCAGTTCTGTTTGCGTCGCAACAGCCTAGAATTGATTTGTTACGTTATTATTCGTCGATAAATGATTTAAAAGCTTCACGGGACCCAACTCATACCTTTGAATGAAACGTCAGCCCGGTTAGCATCCACACAGAGCCGCATGATGCTCTCGGTTTCTGCGCCTGCGCCGTCTGATGCAATGACCGGCTACTTCCGGGTTTTAATCCTACTTCCGCTCCTTTACTCTCAGTCTCAGAACATAAATATTATGTAATATGTTATTGTAAATTATTGTCTCAGTGTTTGTAACCCCCTGGCGTCTGTTATATCATTACTGTATACTGCATTTTATTGTATTGTTTTGTACTTTTTCAATAAAGATTAAAAAAATATATATCAGAACAGTTTCTTAATTCCAATTCAATTCAGTTTATTTATATAGCGCCAAGTCACAACAGAAGTCATCTCAGGGCACTGAACGGAAACATTCATATATAAAAATAATAATTTAACGCTGTTTATCTGAGGAGCAGATATTTGAGTTTAACTCCATCACAGAACTCTCATCTTGAGCAAGCATGAAGGCGACAGTGGAAAGGAAAAACTCCCTCAAGAGGAAGAAACCTTTAGCAGAACCAGGCTCAGGTCATCTGCTTCGACTGGCTGGGCTTGGTAGGAACAGATACACAATGGCAGGTCAAGAATCACATGTTAAGATAGAAATAGTATCAAATGAAAACTATTCAATTTTAACAATTAATTTAAGGAAATTAGCTCAGCAACTTTATACTTTTAATAATAATTTTGATTTGATATAAACCTCTACATTTGCTATGTTGATTTTTTTTTTTTTTTTTTTGAATGTATAAAACGCAACCTATGAAATTTAATTGTTACTTTGTATTCATTCATTCAACCTTTATTTATACAGGTTAGTCCCATTGAGCCTCGTGGACTCATTTACAAGAGAGTAACAAAGAATGATGACAACAGTAGGCAATCATAAAAGAAAGCATATAAATTGAGAATGGAAAGAAAATGGTATTAAAAAAACAACAACTCAAAAACAGCTAGATTGTAAACCGATGTAGAAAACGGTCTGCAGTGGGTTTTGCCATGAATTTAGCAAATGTTTGAAGCCACTTACAGAGGTCAAGGTCGAAAGCTTCAGATCTTTTTGCAAGATATTCCACCTGGAAACAGGAGCAGAGTAGGAAAAGGTCCTTTTGCCTAGTTCAGTCCGCACTGAGGGAACACTGCATGTAATAATGTCCTGAGAGCGCACACTGTAGCTGCACTCACACAGTGACAAGTAGGAGATGTATGAAGGCAACAGACCAAGAATCAGAATCAGCTTTATTGTCGTTGCACCGAAGCACAACAAAATTACATTTCAGTACAGCCCATCCAAGAAAACATAAACAGACATGGGGAGATGGAGGTGTCTGAGGCTGCAGCCTCCGAGGCACTGCCCTTTTTGGTTAGTTAAGAAAAAAAGAAAGGGAGGTATTAAAAAAAAGCATATCCCGCACTGTGTCCTATATGGGACACAGTGTGAAAGTTGCAAAAAAAAAGACCTCAGCAAGTTTGTGAAGTGATTTCAAGATGAAAATGTACTAATGATAGAGTCTATGTGACGTTGATGATGACCAGTTAACCAGTGAATCCAGAGTAGTTACAACCAGTTATGAATCTTAGCTCACTGTGATAGGCAGCATCCAGCATCTGCAGGGTGCTTGTAAATAAATGTAAATAAAGTCACCGTAGTCAATAGAGGGAAAGAAAGTAGCAGCTACAAGGCATTTCCTAACATTCAGAGTTGATCTATTTCTGAAAAAGAAACCCAGTTTAACTTTCAATTTTGTCTTTGCGTGGCTTTTCTTGGCTTTGCGATGCATTCCTGTTGCCTCAGACTGATGAAGTCTTTTGGATAAAAGATGAAACATTTCAACAAAGAACCCATCCAGAGGACGTGACTCAACCTTGTTAGAACTACCAAAGAATGGTTAAAGAAGAATAAAGTTCATGTTATGGACTGGCCAAGTCAAAGTCCTGACCTTAATCCAATTGAAATGTTTTGGAAGGACCTGAAGCTGCAGTTAATGTGAGGAACCCACCAACATCCCAGAGTTGAATTTGTTCTGTAACAGCTAAAATTCCTCCAAGCCGGTGTGCAGGACTGATCAACAGTTACTGGAAATATTTAGTTAGTTATTGCTGCGGGGGGGGGGGGGGGGGTCACACCAGATACTGAAATCAAAGGTTCACATACTTTTGCCACTGACATATGTAATATTGGATCATTTTCCTCCGTAAATAAATGACCAAGTATACTATTTTTGTTGCACTTGTTTAAATGGGTTCACTTTATCTAATTTTAGGACTTGTGCAGAAATCTGATAATATTTTAGGTCATGCTTATCAGAGAGTCAGAGTCAGAGTTTCTTTATTGTCATTCGCACCTCATGCAAAAATATATAAATTCTAAAGGGTTCATGAACTTTCAAGCACCGCTGTGTTTTACATACACACCATCTCTGAGCCTCAGCTTGTTTAGGGTGATAGCTGCTCTTCTGAGCACCTCTGTGCAAAATTAAAATCTAATGTAATCTGTTGATTTCTTTACCCACATTTTCTTGCAAGTTATTGTATTAAAACGATTAACACACTGAATCTGACTGCAATAAAAAAAATAGTAAGATACAAAAATGAACTAAACAAGACATGTTACATTTATGAACCAGCATTTTCTTTTATTCAAGTCTAAAGGTGGGACAAGGACACAGTGTTGAAGTTCAATCCAAAAGCAGACTGTGCACAGAGTTTTTCATAAACCACAACTTTCAGGTACAGCAGGTTATTTAAGCAGTCGGCTTTCCAAGCAACCCACATTTTAATAGACATAGGATTTTTTTTTTTTTTTTTTACATTTGCATTAAAACAACACATCTATAAATCCTTCTAAGCAAGGCATACATGTCAAACTCAAGGCCCGGGGGCCAAATGTGGCCCTCATTGACATCTTATCTGACCCTCAAGATCATATGTGAAATGTAAAATACTTATATCTCTTGAATTTTTCAGTAATCTTTGATGATGATGTGGAAAGCACAACAGAGAACATCAAATGAGACCAATCAAACTCTTGTTGAGGAACATGTGACCAAGAAAACATGGCAGGTATCTGATTTGAGTTAATGTAGTTTTTGAAATTGGCCCTTAGTTTGAAAAAGGTTTTAATTTTGGACACTTTTGTAAGTGAGTTTCACACCCCTGTTCTAAGGCATATCAAATGACATCATGTTCAGTTTTTTTGTTCAACCTCTCCTTGTGTTGATGAAATTTACAAACCAAAAGTATCTAAAGAAAGTTTATGTATGGCTTTATTATAATCCTTCATTCTGACTCTCGACCAAAGGCCTCTTTTACTCCACCGACGACCACATCCACCATCCCCATTATTAACCCCCCTCCCAGCCTGAACACATTTCCCACACCATTTTTGCTTCTCCATGCTAGCTTTCCCAACCCTCCGCCAACAGCTTGAGCTTGACCCCCCATCTCTGACATCACCGTTCCCACAAAACCCTCAGTTTGCTCCCACAGCTGTCCTCCAAAGAACCTGGTGACCGACCAGGTATTATCCAGAACATCCCCACATAATCCCATCGTGTCCCCAGCCAGGGTGCCCATCCCTGTGACCCCCGTGTGGCAGCTGCTCAGCAGGGCCTCCAGCATCGAGGAGCTGCAGTAGTAAGCACTGGAGAAGCAGCTCTCCCCGATATCCAGCAGCATTTCAGTGGCTGAGCCCACCCAGGAGAGGAGGTCTGAGGTGAGGAGGTGGAACACAGTGTAGGTGTCTCCAGGCAGGGCGGTAAGAACTCCAAGATCCTCCTGAAGAACGTAGCTCACCTGAGTCAAGAGAAAGGTGTTGAAATTAAAAACATGAGTTAACAATAAAGCAATGAACCCAGAGACATTTTATGACCACACCTCATCCCTGTGGTTTTATATTGTAGCTATGGGACCAGAAGGACAAAACAGTAACTTTACAAGACTAAACTCATAATATACTCTGTATGTGTGAACGCTTAGAATAACCCATTATTTACCTATAAAGGAACTAGGTAACATAATAAATTTAAATATAATCATTCAAACGTTAAACAGTTTATGTATGTATTTATGTATTATACTGTATGTATAACAGGTCAGATACAAGTAAATACATAAAAATACACTTTAGTAATGTCATAAAACTGGTCACACAAGAATGACCTTTCACAACTTCACAACCATCTTTAATTCAAATGTAGCTCTATGAACTAGGGGTGCACCGATTGCAGTTTCCTGGCCGATCACCAATCACTAAAAAAACCCAACCTGCTGATTCCAATTTTGGCCGATACTAATTTTGGTATAAGCAACACTGTCAGGTGTTATAAGGTCACAATGCACCTTCAATTTTCCAGTCGTATTTTATTGAAAAACATACCCTTGAATAATATCGTAGAAACAATACAAACTTGTTTTAACTAGCCATGAGTCTGAAATATAAATGAAGGTTAGACAATTGTTGTTAAAACTACAAAAAATCTGTAAAATCGGTTTCTCGTGTAAGCATCGGCCGATCTCCTATCTCCCAAAATTAAGGACATCGTGGCCGATTTATCGGTGCACCCCTAATATAAACATCACAAACTTGCTAAAGGACCTTCTTGAGGCAGATCTAGGCTGAAACGCTTCATTACTCTGTTTTACCTGTGCAGGTAACTCTGTGATGGTAGAGAACACAGGGCGCAGAGGAGCTGTGATAATAGACATGGTGGTGGATAGGATGAAGACCAGAGGATGTGTGGAGTTTGAGTCTGTGTCCTCCTCCTCACTGACTGTTTCATGGACATCAGGCTGTTGACGAGCGCTGCTCACAGAAGTCTCTGCTGCGGTTTCTTCTGTTACGTCGGAAACTTTAGTTTTCTCCAAACGAGCGTCAACTTCAGCCACATGTTCGGCTGCTGTTAATGCTTCTCTGCTCTTCTTTGTGGCTTTGTCTACGTCTGGATCTGTAGTTCCTGAATTAGCGTCTGCAGTATCTGCCTCAGTGTTTCCAACGCTTGCAGAAAGCTCATCATTGTGAAGACTCTCACTAATTGCAGCTGTCTCTTGTTCTTTTCCTCCACAGCCTTCAGAGAACAGCTCTGCCACCCCCAGCACCTCCTCCAGCTCCTTCATGCTCACTCGCTTCTCACCCTCCCCTGTCTTTTTGATGAGCCCCATGCTGAAGCCAGCCTTCCCGTCTGGAGGGGTGCAGCACACTGCAGACCACAGCAGCTTCATCTGACACTCCTCGTCTCCATCCTCGGCCGCCCCGAGTCGTCCGGCTCCTGTCAGGACGTAGACGTCGCCCCCTGAAGAGCTGCACTGTGGAATGATGCTCGACCGGACCAGTGCTGTGACTGTCGAGTCCCAGTGTTGAAGAGGGGAGTCTGCGGGGGTGCCAGGCTGAGACGGACCCCTGCCTCCTCTGAGAAGAGCTGGGACTCTGACACTGTCCACTTCTTCCTCTGCCTGACAGAAAAAAATGTCAACTCAGCTGTTTAGGAACAATGACTCTTATAATGCACCTAATACTTTTATATAACTAAAAACAAGATGTCAAAGTGAAATATCAGTTGAAATGTTTGTGGATTCCTTTGCTATCGTGTACCAATTGATAATTTTGTTATTTAAATAAAAAGGTAAACCATTTCATGCTTCTGGGGGACTAACTCGTTGTTTCAGCCGTTTTGTGCATATAAAGGTCTGCAAATTTACAAAAGCTAAAGATGATACCAAAAGTGTTTCTATAAGCTGTTTAAACTGTATTTATTTGGAAATCCAAACTATTCTTTGCATACTTGTAGATATTGTTACACAACATATCTGCACGATCACTGCTTGAAAGTTAAGCAAGCGTCCCCAAACAAACACAAGCTGCTGGGCTGGACCTGAACAAATCAGGTGACTAAGAGCAAGTATTGTTCAAAACAGTGACAAGAAGTGTTCTAACAAAAAAAAAAGTTTTTCCAAATCATGTATGAGAACATAAAGTAAAAGCTATTACATCTTTATTATGGGCTAGTTAAAGTCTGGCTAGATTGGTATGCTTGTACCACATTAATGAGTATTTATCTGTTTCATTTACCACTGACACATTGATGAACAGCTCTAAATGTGTAATGCAATGATGCAAGCAATATTTTGGCATAAATACCACTGTGGTATTCAGATTGGGATCATTTTAAATGCTACTTGAGTATAAACAAGTAACAGTATTCACTGTTTCTATTGTTCTTATTAGAACAAACTTTTCTACAGATACATAACCCAACAAATATTAGTGTATTTTCTTGTTATGTGGAAGGTGGTTTTAACTGGCATATGTCTCAAAGGTTTTAACCACTGGTATAAAGAGTTAAAAGAACAAGATGAATTTCACAATTTTGAAAATGTTTTGCTTTATTACAGGCCTCAACTCAGCTCTGATTTCTTATAATTGTTGGGTCATCACCCAAACAGGACTTCCTAATTTAGTTTATCATTCCAACAATTGGAAAAAAAATGTGCTATACGTGTCAGATAAATGTAGTGGGATAATCCCACGTATTTAAGTAAACAAACTTTCTACCTCATGTGTTTTTGTTTGTAAGAGTTACATATTTTTCTGCAACCTACTTTAGAAAATGAATTTTTCAAAACGAGACACTTTAAAAAGTGATAAATGTGTCCTTACCACATTCTCCTCTCCCTTCTCTATCCATCCAGGGCTGAGATGGAAGGCAGTGTAAACAGCTGTGTCACAGATCGGTCTGGACAGTGTGGCAAACGCCTGTCCCCCGGGCAGCTCGTGGCAGCGAGGGCGCAGCTGCAGCCCCGCGGAGGCTCCCTTTGGAGGGGTCTGTCTGTAGAAGCAGTCGCTGCAGAGGCTGAAGCCTGGATCTGAGCTGTGCTCATCTGGCTGCGACAGGCCAAGGCCTGATGCTGCCAGCAGCCAGACAGCAGCTGCTCTGACAGCAGCAGGACCCAGCATGGTGGTGAGCTCAGCAAACCCCCCCTCTCTCACACACAAACACAAGAGTGAGGAGGGAGAGGCTTATAAATTATCCAGTGGTTTCTGTGTATAGATGGAGAAGATAAAATAGCTGCTGATGACTTCTTGTTTTCCTCACCCACTGCTCGTGTCGACCTCCCGTTTGGCTCCAAACATGCCTTCTTTTAATCTCAGCTGTGCTCTGAGGGAGCGAATCAGTATTTGCAGGCACAATCTTGCTTACTCCTTCATTTCCCTTTCCCTGACAGCCTCACCCCCCTCAGTTCCACCCTCTGGCTGTTTCTGTACCTCACCCCTCCCTTCCACGCCTCCCAACCCATGGCTGTTATGTGCACAAGCTCAGTCCACACCTATTAATTACCTGTAAGTCTGCATTCCCAAACAATTGTCTTTGTGTCATGCTTGATTGACAAACTTTAAAGTCCAGTTTTCTCGGCCATGCACATTCCTGAATCATAACCCGGCACTGAGCTGCTGCGAACTGTTTCCAAACCAAACGTCTCATTTAAAACCCCAAATACAGACTGAATGAGCTCTAAAATGAGCGAGGTCTGTTTATGAAATCCTCATTAAAGTTTAATCTCCACAGTGTCACATTCATGGTTCACTATCACACCCAGAGTCCAGTGATTACTGAAATCAGACTTCTCAGACACAAAATATTTATGGCTGGAAAACTGAAGCTCACCTTCCTAAATATTAAAGAACAGGCCTGTTGAGACATGAAAGGCATGAACTGATCTTTTTCTAATCATTATGCTGCCAACCATAAACACATAACATTTTAAACAGTATTTTTTACATCAAGAGGGAGAGGAATTTTGCCAGACTGTCTTCATGTTGCGTAAGGGTTATGGCGAAGAGAAGCCAACGGTATGCCTGGACTTTTATCTAACGCTGAATCCTCTGAAGAGGGAGAAAACAAGCAAAGAAATATGTGTAACAAAGACAAAGCAGGTGAAGTTATAAGATTATAATAATAACGTATTATAGTTCAAGTCATTTACAGACTGGTAAAATTCAGAGTCTGTAACTCAGGAATGAATGATTAAGAATGTCGTGCTTAGGGTGGGTCATAAATCCATCTGTAGGATATGTGGAGCACTTTCGCACGTTCAGGACACTGAAATTGTGCAATGACAATTGTTTTAGTCAAACGTACAATAGTTATTTTGTTTGCTTTTACAAAATAAAAAATTATCACCTGTGGCGTTTGTAAAAAAAATTTAAAAAAAAAAGTGAAAATGCTTACATTTAAATAAAACCCTTTTGTGAGAGTTACATCAAAAACATTACATATCAATGAATAAAAAACTTTTGTTTTCTACAATTTGATACATTAACAAAAGAATGAACAATGTAAATTCTGTAACAAATAAACAAAAATATGCATTTTAAAAAGTTACAAACTAACAGTTTTAATGCAAGTCTGAGATGGTGGTTAGACATGACAAACCTTTATGACTTAAGTATTAAGGACATGTAACTGTTGCACAAATGATCTAATAAGGCCATTGAATTTATTAGACAATTTGTCATTCTGTCACAGTTTCATTACTTCACGTTTTAAATTAACATTCTTCTCTAAATGTTGTTTCAACAGTGACATTACATACAGCCATAATACACCAGGGGATGTTTTCTTTTCAAAAGTCAGTCAAGTACAACCTCCACTCCCACAAACAGATGCAAATTCCTCCACCTCCTGCCTTTAAATAAATCCTAACGCCCACTCCTGCTCACTCGTTAGGGATGTCGATGACCAGTTCGGCCTCGTCTCCCTCCCCTCGGTCTTCGTCACCTCTGTCGCTGTCACCGTCACTCTCATCTTCTTCCTCAGCTGCATCTCCGCTGAGCATCTGCCGGGGAACCCAGCTGAAGGAGCCGCCGGCTGCTGCAGCAGCTGCAGGGGCTGATGAGTAGTTAGATGCCATTGGAGCAACAACCTGAGGAGATCAAAATGAATCAAACAAAATACACAGACACAGATGAAAATGAAGACACGATGGAGGAGAATGGAGGGCGAACGGATGGCTACTTTATAAATGTCAAATCAAAAGAAAACCTGCATTATATATATGAAGGTATACAAAAACTAACCAGAAGTTAATCTCTGTGTATTGTGGCCTAAAATATTGCAGTTAGAAATTAAAATATATTTGTTTTATATCTGACTTTATGTACATCCTGAGATAGATCACCAAACTGACAAAGCTTCTCTGCTGTCAACTATAAATGGTTTATTCTTATGCACAATGTGAGAAGTCAATATCAGATCTAATTCATCATTGTTGCTCTCTCTAAAAACTATATTTTCCCCTCTCCCCCTCACCTTCCCTGTGGATTCTTTCTTGCTTTTTGGTGTCTTTGTTTTTCTCTCTTTCTTCATTCGCTCAGCAGCTGGTGCCAAATACTCTGGTGGGAAGGGCATCTACCCAACACACATGCAGATCCCAGATTGCCAAATGACCACATGAACATGCATGCATACAGTCGGAAAGAGATTACAAGACAAACACATATACAAAACACACATGCACACAAATAAAGAATGACCAGTAAAGAGACAGTGAAAGCATTTTTTCCTCAACAAAAAAGAAAAAAAAATACAAGTACAATGATAAACAATCAAATAATGCTGAATGAAAACAGAGAATATGTTCTGCAGATGAAAAGAGAATGGCAGTAAAGTGATTGTAGCTAAGATGTAAGAAACAACTCACAGAGTTAAGGTAGGATCCAGCGCTGGACGACTGCAGAGGATTGACTCCAGAACGAGACAATGCAGAGAGATGAGGTGATGACGATGAAGAAAGACATGCACCAGGATTCATTTTTCTCCTGAAAAGAGTTCATGAGATATTCACAAGATTATGACAAAAGAAAAGAAACTATCTTTTCAGGCTTAAAGTGCTGCTGTTGTGCAGTGTATTGTTTTTGTACTTTTAATGCTTAGTGCATTCAAAGTCAAAGTTTCTTTATTTGTCATACGCACCACATGTGGTACAGGTGGTGGAACAAAATGTACACAGGGTCCCAGTTACATCTAACAAAAGTATAAATTGTAAAGAAAAACAGTAAGATCTAAGATATGAACGAAGAAAAACAAACTAAAAATACGCTAAGCACTAGTAGCACAAAAACAATACGCCGAACAGCAGCACGAACATGAGTCTGTGAGCAGACGAGTATGAATGAACACAGCAGCATGAATAAATCAGCAGCATGAGATCAGCAGCATGGATAATCAGCAGCACATATCAACAATCAAGTGGCATTACAATGATTATTCCACAGTGATTATTCTAGTTAGAGATTCATGAGTCTAACAGCCTCAGGGTAGAAGCTGTTCCTCAGTCTAGTGGTTCTACACTTAATGCTCCTCAACCTCCTTCCTGAGGGGAGCGGGGCAAAAAGTGTGTGTGCTGAGTGAGTGGGGTCCTTCATGATGCAGGTGGCCCTCTTCCTGTATCTGGAGATGTAGATGTTTGTGATGGTGGGGAGACTGACTCCAAAAGACTTCTGTGTAGCCTTCACCACTCTCTGCAAAGCTTTTCTTTCTGTAGCTGTGCAGCCTCCATGCTCCATTCTTAGTTTAGCGTTTTTCTTAGTTCATATCTTATTACTGTCTTTTCTTTACAATTTCTACTTTTGTTGGATGTAACTGGGACCATGTGTACACAAACATGTACCACATGTGGTGGAATGACAAATAAAGAAACTTTGACTTAAAGCAATCAAATTTTGACCCCCCCCCTAAAAAAAAAGTTTGTGCCAATCACTGACATTTACTAGTCTAGCAGTTTAGAAGTCACTCATGTGACACATTCATGTTACATGATGTGTGAAAAACATGTCATGTTTTTTAACTTCTTTTTAATGCTGGTGAAGATTCTCAGTCATCTAGAACATGATAAATCCAAAAAACAACCTCTTTTTTAGATTTAGTAGTTTAGAAAAGTCAATAATTAATAATCACTTTTACAGAGCAGCTTATGGCATTTCGATGTTCTTAATTTTTAAAGATCACTTTGGTAGAATTTTACATCCAATCACATACTAGTTTGTTTTTTTAGTACTTCAAAGGCATTTGCTCTTTTCCTTGCAGTATATTTTATATTTTTACATTTTGTTTTCATTGGGAAAGATTACTTTGCACAAAAGTACTTTAACTTTTGAAAAGTTTGTTTAAAAACACTGACTGTTTTGTTTCTCATTTTTATGAATGGAGGTATAAAAAATAACTTGGGACAAATTAAAAGTTTTACAAGTGTCTCAAAATATAAAAAAAACATAAAGAAATATTATTTAAATTAATTTTCTTTTTCATAATTTTGTTATTGACTGGTAAGGGTAGACAAAACATTGATTCATCCATAATGAAATAACCTTACTTTACACCGCAACAATTTAACACTCTAAAAATGCTCAGGTACTAAAACCAGACTGAATGTTAGTGAAAGTGTTTACTAAACTTACTTCTTTGCACCATCTCTTTCTCTTTCCCTCTCTCTGATTCCTTCTATTTCACTGTTTTCTGAAGAGACTGTTGCATCTGAATCTGAAGGATAAATTTAGCAGCACAGTGAATATAAATAATACCACATTTAAATTTTGTAATCAAACTGGTTTTACGTTTAATTTACCTGAAGAGTCTTCATCTATCCTCTCATACTGCAGCAATCTGTCCAAAAGGAAGCTGTGAAAACAGATGAATGTGTTAATTTATTGAACTGTCTGTTTAACTCCCTGCATGAGTTAAACTATAGACAATCTCACCTTTTGTCTCTGGAAACCTTGAGAAGTTTCCTTTGTGCTCTCCTTAACTCCTCCTGAAAACATTCCTGCTCCTGAAAAGATAAAACACAGCAGGTAGATAACAGAAGTACGCACTTAAACAACATAAAAACACACATTTTGATCACTTACATAGACAAGGAATTTTAATTTTCGTTTAAGGTTTTTGTACTTCCGCTTGTAGTCGACCTCTACGTCTGCTTGACCGTTCATTTCTAAAATGAAAACAAACAAAACCATAAAACGACCCACTATAAAATACTGAATGTGAAGCTCTGCTAGCTTTACGCTAGCTAGAAATGTCATATATCACAGCCGACTGATCAAAAATAAAAACATGCAAGACTCACAAGCTAATGAAGACACACCCAAATATTTTAAAATATATAAACCAGACTATTCTGACTTTAAAATTAATTTAATATTTGTTAAACCAACGTTACCTCTAGCCTGCGGTTGTCTCTGCGACATGCTATTGTTTACAATCGTGACGTCATTCAGATGCGTCGCAGAGCAGTGCTGCCTCCTGCAGGTCAGGAGGTGTCAGTGCAAGGTCTGTCCAAGGTTGTCCCTCATTTTTACCTACAAAAACCAAGAACTGTAATAATTCAGTTCAGTTTATTTTCAGCTGACGTAATAAATTGTTTTTTTCTGCAGAAAATTTAAGAGCGAGAAATATAAAAAAGAAATAAAAATACATCTTACTGGGTGTACTTAAATTACACTAGTATTATAAAAAGTAACTTACTACATTTGTGTGCAACTTGTATTCATTAAAATTACTTGACTTGTGAAACAGGTTTCAAACTGTCATCAAAATAGTAAAACTATATTATTGATTGTGTGGAAATGCTTTTCCTTGACACTGATAACTTTTAAATAGCAAATGTGCATATTAATTATCTTTTTAATTTTGTACAATTTTCCATTGGAGATGTTCTTAAAATTGAAGATTTTGTTACTTTTAAGTTCTACAAATTTAAGAAATGATCAGTAACTATACAATCATTAATGATACAATAAAGATAAAAAAATCTTATTTGTTCCCTAGATGTACTTTTTTTTTACCTTCTCAGTCAGTAAGTACATCCATGACATCATGCAGCAAAGATTTTGTGTTTCTCTTTAATCCCCCTGTAGGTGTCATCTCCACCTGCCGCATTCTGTACTGCACCAAGTTTGCAGCTTTAATCTTAGCTTGCCACAGTCCCTTCCATGTGCCCAGTACCATGAATTATAGATGCAGACCATTTGCTTCAGTGCACATTCCCATAGCACACAGCCAGACCCTCTGTGTGTGGGATTAATGGCGGGTGGGGCGTGAGATATATAAAGATAAGTGGACAGACTATCATCAAAGTAAAGAAGAAAGAAATGTTGCTGGGTACTGGAAGAATATAAAATGCAAAAGACAGATGACTATAAGCAGGGTGACACCCACACACCTCAGCCAGCAAAAGCTCAGCAAGACACTGATGAAACAGCACCTTTTCATCCAGCTTCCAAACTGAGGACAGCTCATTATTGCAGCAGTGAAACCCCCCCCCCCCCCCACACACACACACACACACACACATTAGATAGACACCTCACAAGAATAAACATGGATTCTCTCCCTTCCAGACAAAACAACTGCTGATATGAAACACGATGCTGTATCTGACCGACCGTCGGCCTCTCTTGTTGTTTTCAAAGACACTGACGGACAAAAATAGATTTATCTGTTCCTGCCTCCATAAATCTCTGCTTCCAGCCACCCAGTCAGCTAGCACCCAACTCTCCCCCTGAGGTTCTTGTACTTTTTCAGCTTGGACATTTGTTCTTATGGTGCTGGTTTTCTATCACGTTGACATGTCCCCCCCACCTCATTGTCTTTTGTCTCTCTCTGTACTGATCTATTAATGTCCTTCACGTTGTCTCATCTACTTACACTCTTCATAACATTTATTTTGTTAAACCTCTTAGAGGTGCTTTTGCTCTTGTACTTTTGTAAATGCAGAAAACGGAAATGTACCAGAACCACACTAAGGACAACAACAACAACTGCAACAGAAGCCGCCTCAGTGATCACAAGGTAAGACTCATGTTTGAGAGTTTTCTCCTGAAGTTTGTTTAGAACAGCTGGCATGTTCATAATGTGATTACTGAGGCAGGATATCAAATCAGTGTCTGTTTTCTTCAGCGTTCTATTGTGTGTGTGTGTTTGTGTGTGTGTGAATGTCACAGGCGAAGCTTCTCCAGGCTATTAAAAGAATCAAGCATGAGGTAGATGAATGCAAAGAAGCAGAAAGAGAGACGTATATCGACTCAGTGGCAGTAGAGGTAACTTTACAGCAAAGTTCATTCCTCTTGTTCAAAATGTGTTGTTTTTTAAGAAACATCAATTTTAGATTAAAGCAAATGAGCATGCTAATAGCAATTAAAGAACAGGTTTAAACGGTATACATTAGTTTGTTGGTACAGTGACATAAATTCAGTGTTTTAATTAAATTTTGATAACATATTACACCTTAGACATAAATAACATGGGCTTATAGTAATATTTCAATAATGTTATGTGTTTATTTTTTCTTATTTTATTTTTTGCCCAAAAGTCATGTACTACTGTATTATATTTAAGCATTGGCCAATAACTTCCTGTAGTCTCAGGGCAGGTGAACTCAACATGCAAATTAAATGCAAACCAAAACCTTTAAACATAAATGTGACTAAAATCTATATATAAACTCAAAATCAGTGAAGAGGGGATTTCTTTACAAGAACTTTACTGCGTTTAAGACTTCTTATGGAGTTGACACGTTTTGTTTTTTAGTTATTGTGCACATTTTCTGTGAAGCAATTTGCTGAGTCTGAGCAAAAGGATTATTCCTGCCCACTAATCACACATTTATCACATCATCAATAAACTCTGATGACACAGCGTCCCTGGAACACATTCATGCTCCCACCATCACACTGTTTCCTCACATTTTAAAGACATCATTTTCAATAATGAGCTATTTTTAGGCCTTCGACATACATTTCTTCCCTTTTGATTAAATCTAGACTGATATGAGTTTGAGACGTCTGAATAATACTGCTCCAGAAATAAATCACTTACAATTCACATGTTCATTTTCTTACTTATGAGCTCTTGGGTAAAAGGAGGATTCTTTTTTTTTTTTATCAAAAAGCTGGAAATCCCAATTTAATCATGCAAAATGAATGATCTGAAAGATCAAAGTTTGCACCTTAAGCCCACATAAATCATGTAACATTACCTGCAAAAGCTTTAATTACAATGTTCAAAATTTTCAGTAAACAAAAAAGTAAACAGACCCAACTTAATGTACATAAAAGACACATGCGTCTTCTTTCAGAACAGGTTTGATGACCTGGAACGAGAAATCAGAGCTGAGTTTCAGAACCTTCATCTCTTCCTGGAGGAAGAGGAGTGTAAGGACTTGGAAAAGCTGAGGAGGGAACGACAGAAACAGCTGAAGCAGCTAAAGGAGAGGGAGAAAAAGATTGAAGCACAAGGAAAAGACCTGGAGAGAGCGATCACAGTGCTGAACAGCAAACTGGCCGAGGAGGACAGTCCCAAGCTGCTCAAAGTGAGAAAAACACTAAAATACAAAAGTTGCATCTGAAGAATTACATGTTCAAACTAAGAGTTACAGAGAAACCATGCCAGGCATCTCCGAGGAAATCTGCAGAGCTGCAATAACTGTCCCACCGTGCTGTTGCACTTCCTCCGTGCTTGATGTATAATAGACATTGATCAGCCAAATAGTTGACCTGTCTAGTTTAACAAGTGAAAATCAATTTCTCATTTAAAAGCAAAAGGAAAGCCGATGCATTTGTCAGCAAAAAGAAGAGCAACGCTAATGAGAGGATCTGTGAATGTCAGTTTAACGGACAGACATTTATTAAATCCTTTTTCTCATTGCAGGAAATCCAAGATCTCATAAAAAGGCAAGTTTTCTCAAATTATGTATTTAATGAAATTCATAGATGGTACTGGTTTGTATCAGTCTGTCCTCATGCTGGTGTGACCTTCGACCCCCTGCCATCGTTCAGGTCTTTTTTCTTCTCATCTTCCACAAACAGATCTCAGGTCAGCTTTGTTCTTCCAGCAGAGGTGGACACAGAGGTTCGCTCTGGTCAGTTTGTGGGCCCCATTCAGTACAGGATATGGAAGCACATGAAAAGCTGCCTCTACCCAAGTATGCACACGTCTGTCCGTTAAAGCTAAAAACTTTCTGTGAAAATGCAGAGTGAAAGCTGAGCACTGAATGACTTTTCTGAAATATGTTGAAGAATGAATGAAATGACTTGGTACAAGTTGAAACAAGCAGAACAGAATTGACAAAACAGTTGCTAAAAGCTAAAATGAGCACAAAAAAAAAACATAGCTAAAGCTAAACATGGCATGCACTAAAATTGGTCAAACAACAGATAAAAATATAAAATAGCAAAACTGTAGCAAAAGCTATTAGGAGCTAAACAGTAGCTACAAGCTAAAATTAGCTAAACTGCAGCTAAATTTTGGAGTGTGGTGGCACAGAGGTTGGTGACGATGGGCCTGTGATTGGAAAGTTGCAGGTTCAACTCCCAGTACAGTCAACATCAAAATGTGGGTGGAAAAGGTGAAACACCCACACCTGTCTCCATCTTCATTTACCCCACTCTGGGCCCCTGAGCAAGGCCCTTAACCTCCACAATCTGCTCCCAAAAACAGGTCTCTCTTGAAAATGAGTTCTCATGACTCAATGAGACTACCTGTATAAATAAAGGGTAAATGAAAAAATGAGAAAAAAAAAGCTTAAATGAGCTAAATCCTAGCTTAAATCAAGCAATAGTTAAATAGCAAGTAAACGTAAAATCAGCAAAACAGAAGCTAAAGGTCTAAGTTAGCTAAACTATACATAGATTTGCTAGAATCAACAAAATCACAAATAAAATTAGAATTCTCTAATATCAACAGAGTAAAAGCTAAATTTTACAAAACAGTAACTAAAAACTAAATGTAGCAAAAGCTCTAATTAGGTAAGTCATAGCCAAAAGTTAAAAAAAAAATTAAAACAGTAGCTAAAATTTAGAAATACTAAAAAAGTAGTTAAAAGCCGTAGTTTTTTATTTTTTTATTTTATTGTAGCAAGGTCATAGCTAAATGCTACAACTGGCTAAACATGGCTAAAACCTAAATGTAGCAACACTGGAGCTAAAAGCTATATTTAGAGAAACCATAGCTAAAAGCTAAAATCAACATAAGACAATAAAATCTGAGACAATTTGTTGATGTACTGTAGATTTCAAAAAGAACAATATTTATGAGCTACTGAAAAGAACTCAATGTCTTTGTATAAAAAAAGTAAAGTTAAATAATTGTACCTATGTTTTTAATACTAAAAGTCATAAATACCGAAAGTCTCTCCATCATTGACTGAGCCAAACCTTTTGATGTATAAATGGTTAAAATAGCATAAACGTATTCAGAAGTAGTTTGTTTGCAAAAATAAACAACTACAAACAGGAAAACAATATGATTGCTTATTCAGCATCCACATAATCATTGAAATGAGCAGATAAACTCACCGTATGACCCAATATGTTTCTACATATAGATATTACATCGGTGACCTTTGACCCTGACACTGCCCACCCTAGCCTGACTCTGTCCCAGTTCTGCACTTCGATTCGGTTCCAAGAGAATAAAGACACTTCAGACGTCCAAGCCAACCCACGTCGGTTCCACTATTATTACTGCGTGTTGGGCCACCAGTGCTTCACCACCGGTCGACACTACTGGGAGGTGGAGGTGGGAGACAAGACAGCGTGGAGGCTGGGTGTCGCACGAGGAGATGTTCCCAGAGGTGAGATGGCTGCTGCTAGCGGCACCTCCCGCGGCCTCTGGACGTTAGCCCTGAAGGACGGCTCCATCTTGGCCTGCATTGATCCAAAACCCACTAAAATCAACGTGTCCGTCCACCTCGTGCGCGTTGGCATCTTCTTAGACTGCAACAAGGAGGAGGTGACTTTCTATAATGCTGTTACCATGGCGCCCATTTACACTTTCTCCATGGGAACTGTCCTGGTTCCCCTGTTTCCCTTCTTCAACCCCTGTGACACAGATGATGGGAAGAACACGGCACCACTTGTAATCTTTAATCCGTCACTGTAACACGCTGCTCTCACCAGCGCTGACAGGTTTCATGTTAGCAGAATATTTTACAGTAACTTTAATTTTCTGGTTTGAAGCTGTAGCTGTACATCCACTGGTTGATGTCTGAGAGCTTCACTGAATAGTGGTTTATAAAATATGTTGCTAACAGACAGACAGCGTGGATTTAAACAGTTATTATCAAAGTTAAGCAAATATATTGTGCCATACTCAGATTATGTGTTGGGAATGACTCACAGCTACTACCACATCAAATTATAGCTCATTATCTGTTAAACTGATTGAGTGAAAATCATTTTTTATGCTGCCTGAGGTTGATTAGGTAATCTGGATTGACTCCATAAATCAGTAGTTGTAGATGTACATTCAATGGATACTTTCTGAGTGTTAAGTACAAGTTTGTCTCATGGTTCAAGAGATATTTTGCTAACACCACAAACAAATGAACACACAGAACATGGGGAAACATTACCACACTTTCACCTTTTGTTGATAAGAATTCAAATTATTGGGATTAAAACCTCAAAAAGGACTTAGTTTGTTTGAGACGTCTGATGTTTCTGTGATAAATAAAATGTTCTGAGTTTTATTATGGAAGTAAATAGAAGGTTGCCCCCAGCAGGTGCATTTTTATGGTTTTACTTTTGGCTTGTTTATTAATACCTCTGGTGTTTGCATGCTGCTCTGAAATGTCCTGGTGAGCTGACAGAAGCAACAAGTCAATGACATCATCAGAGGTGAGAGAGTGGCTCCATGAGAACAAAACTGGACTTCTACGGAAAGGAAAAAAAAACCTGACACTTAAAATGAGACAAGAAGACAGCAAATGTCATATCTTGATTTATTTTTAGCATTTCTTTAGACATGAAATAAAGAACAAGTCGTTTGTCGTTACAAAACATCTGTGAGGGGAGAGTTGTGCAGAAGAGGAAGCACAGACGTCAGCAGTGATCAGAGGCAGCTGAGCGTGGAGGACCAGCGGTGGTCTTCAGAGGTGGACACTAAACCAGAACCTCTCTGGCTCCAGTTAGATGTAATAACTCTGATTCTGCCCTCTTTAGGATGCTGATCACATGTAATACAAAGGCTTGCAACGCCTTCCTCAAGTCTTTACTCACTCTAAGTGGTTTGGGTGTTACAATTACTGACAAGAGAGGTGGCGCGTGAAGATAATGTTTTAACCGCCTCTTGTTAACTGACAACATTACCCAGAGGGTTACTGTCTGCACACTTTGAGATTCATCTGCTGCAATCAGTAATACACACACATACGCCAGATTATGTTACAAACAATGAGAACACCCTCACTCACAAATATAGCCCGCTCAGCAGTCTGCATGCTACCTATGTTCAAGTAACGTCAACGCTTCTTTCACGCAAGCGCATAATAAGTCAGCATGTGTCTGTTCACGTGTGTAAACTGCGCTCTGTACTTAATAAGACAAGGTGCCGTTAGGAGGTGACTAACAACAGAAAAATACTATCTATTATACATTGTAGGCACTAAAACGAAAAATACTTTTTTTGTTTCAACACGTTCACGCTCATAATTTAAACACAGCTTTTATTTCTCACGATTTAAGCAGGCACATGGATATCTTACACACACACACACACACACAAGGGCACAGGAAGTACGTTTCATTCTGTACAAGTGCATAGATTCAGCACACGCTCGCCCACTCATACCTGAATACTGACGTCCCACTGGAGACAACCACACTTTACAGACAACTCTTAAACAACGGCAACATTTAAATATCACTTCTCTTGTTACGCGTACGACTTCTGGACAATAAAAGCCTGTTGCTCACATCATGTTTCGGGCATGCTGCAGCTGATGCTTAGGGTGATATTAGCTAAACTTTTTATTAAAGTGTGTAAATATTGTGAGCGACACTTTAATTTAAAAAAAGCTTATCTAAAAGAAGCTATAGTTGGTGTTTATGGTCTGATTTTTTTGAATATTTGGTTGCTACATTAGTTCAAGACATTAGTGATAATTAGTATATATAGTATATCTAAATGTTTTTCTATATGAGATTTAAAGTTGGTGAGACATTTGAATTAGTCTTCATTTATTTAGTATGATACAAGAATTGCTCTATACACTAGAAACATTCAGCCACCGAGGGGTTAAACTGGCAAACACATGCAGTATTTACATTTTTTGTTGTGTGTGTTTGTGGTTTTACTGTATATGTGTAAAAAGGGCATTGTCAGTAATGCCAAATCTGATTGTGGTTCCCTCACAGATCCAGGCAGAAAAAAAGAGGCCTACAGCATTTTATAGTTTCACTCCGATTTAGTTGGTCTATTTGACATCGAGGCACCTTGATGTTACACATATATTTTGGTAATGTTAATTTATGCAGTGTCTAAGCATCAAATCTGACATCTAAACTTGTCTTGGCTTATGGCTTTAGAAGGTGCTGACGCATCATTTGAAACAACATTTTGTCCAAAATGCTACAAAGAAAAGGCCAGCTGAGTGACAATAATCTGTTTTCATCATTTGATTGAATTTTCCTGTTTCTTTTTGTGCTTTGCATAAAATAATCCAATTTTATTTGATTTTAGTGTCTGAAAGCATCTGAAACAAAAGGGAGATTTGCTCCCTCCTCCCAATATATGTAAATATGAATCTGCACACCTTCTTTGTACGGAAGGGCTAAGATTAAATACTTTTGACAGCACATTTAAATGCCTCCAAGTACATTTAAACGAGCTCTAGAAGATAGTGTAATGGCATCAATGATGGCTTCATATTATAGGCCATAGAAATAGTAACATTTGTCATTGTTGAAACAGTAAAGAAAACATTTCTCCATAAAGATTTGCAAGAAAAAAAGCTGACATAAGAAAAGAACAGGCAGAAAAGAAAGAATTTCTTTTTTTTGCTAAGAATAATAAAAGAAAAGTAGAAAAGATAAAACTTCCTACACTAGTTGGAACCTAAAATATGCTTTGATTCAGTAATCGTCTCTTAGAAAACTTAATAAACAACATAAATTCTAAAGTCTTTAACTGTATCGGGGTTGAGATTTCAGTAAAGTCCTTTGTAAATCCAGAACCTCGGCAGACTTGAACTAGATGATCAGGACTTCAGAGATCTTATTAAAACACATTTTAATCATCGGATGTGTCCTCTGAAAGTTTAAATCTAGATATCAATAAAACTATTAATGGTTAGTATGATTAGTATTTTATTTGATGGTTTCAAAAGAAAGCAGAAATAAAATCCACGTTTCAGCTGCATGTGGACGCGATTTAAAAAGCTTCCTTCTTCCCTTCATTACTCATTTTAGTGGGCCTAAAAAACACAGTTCAGATATTTAAAATTTGGGTAGGTGGATATGTAGTGATTAATCAATATCTTACCTGCAGCAGATGGTTTTTGAACAACCTCAATTTGAGAAAAATAAACTTTATTTTGACTGGATTGATGAGCTAATGGTTAGTCTAAGTGGAGCGAAAACCAGCAACAATATTATAATACTCCTGCTGAAAGTACACTGGGTTGCACCCGAAATGATACAGCTAGCTGCCGCTGCCACAAGTTGTGCTTGTACGTAATCACAGATTTCTGCTTTAAGCTTTTAACATGAAACTGGCAGCGATAAAAAGGTTTATAGCATTTGCTTGAACTGGTATAACATTTTTCACTCTGGAGCTGTTTTAAAGTGACAGCAGTTCACTTTGTTCTTGGCTCTGCTCCGACTAGCCATTAGCTCAGAGGTGGGCAACGTTTTTTTTCCCAAAGGGCCACATCAAAACGTTTAAAGCAATCAAAGGGCCGCATAGAGAAGTGGAAAATACACTTTCTTTATGACAGATAATCTAGAAGACCTTTTTCAGGCTTTTTCTTATTGTAGCAAAGTTAGCATGCTTTATAAAACATGTCTTCACAATATCCTTTAGGAATATAATACATATTCTGTAAACTGGCTCTTGTGACAATATATTACATGAGCTTAACATGTTATACATGTTAGCAGGAATATGCAAAACAAACTTATATTTTTGTGGTTCCAAGTCTTTAAACTTCTGTCTAGTTCTGGAAAAACAACAAAAATGTTTTTTTTTTTTTAAGTTTTGCATTAAGATGTTTAAATGTCCTTAAGTCTCGTTGATAAATTGCTGGGGTTTTTTTTTATCAATCTTTAGTTAAAAAGTTGTTTGTGTTTTTTTTAAACTAATGATACTGGGGGGGCTGATGGAGATTGTAAAAGGGCCACTTTTGGCCCTCATGCCTCAAGATGCCCACATCTGCATTAGCTCATCACATCAGTTCAAATCAAACTCTATTTCTCCAAAGTGAGGTCATTCAAAGAGCTATAATCAAAAATTATATGTTTGTAATGTTTCCACAGAACCTCATTTAAAAAACGTGAACTTTTGCTCAATGATTACACTAGCTAAAAACATATTTTCTTTCTGCCAAATTCCTCCACAGGCTGTGAGAGGTGTGATCTTATTGTGACCTAATGTTTAGTTCGAGTCTAAAAACAAATTCTATCATTTCAATGAAATGTCGTAAACCTTTTATAAAAGACCGTATGGAGTTAACGTTTTAGTTGTAAACTCTGCAAAAATCTTCATTTGCAGCTTGGCAGTTTTACAAAGGAAAAAAAAAACGAGGCTGCAGGATGCGTACAACTAAAGTGTTTACTAGTTAAAAGCCCTGTGTGATATTTGGAGTGTGCCTCAGTCAGAAAGTTTCAAAAGTTATAAAAAAAGAAGTACCATTATCAGGGTGGGTTCAGGCTCTAAAAGTTATATCGACGTCCTCGCCCCAGCTGCTGTGGTTTCCTCATCTTTTGTTGGGGGGTGTTCGATTGTCTGCAGTGGTGGTAACCGGGGATCTGTGGGGCTTCTTCCTGCTTCCTGCAGGTGCAGTTCTCAGGTGGTGGCTGAAGCCTCAGCTGCAGAGCCATCTTTGTGGCCCTCTGGGACAACACTAGATCTCAGCTCTGCTTCGTGGGTTTTGGGGGAGACTTCTTTTGGAGCCGAGCTTTTGATAATATCCACATGATCTGGACTTGCTTTGGCATCCGGTCCTGGCTCGGATGTGCCGTTAGTAATAGGTTCTGCTGAAGTCGGTTTGCTGGGGTCTGTAGTAGGAGCTGAGGTGCTCTTCTCAGGTGTCGAAGTGGTGGCTGGGGGAACTGCTAGCTTGGGTTCTGGGCTTGGACTGGGTGCAGGCTTTGGATCAGCTGGGCTCAGGCCAGCTTTTGGCTCTGGACTTGGGGATGGACTAAGTTTAGAATCCCCTGGTTTGGGTGCATCCAACTTTTCTTTCTTAGGTTGATCAGGGGTTTTCTTGGTCTCGGGGACTGGGCTGACTTTGGTTTCAGGTACTGGACTGGGCTTAATTTCCGTAGCTGGTGGAGCAGCTGACTCAGCAGTAGGAGGAGGACTCGGTTTGGTTTCAGGAGCAACAGAGATGCTTGCAGCCTCAGAGTCTGGGATTTGATCAGGGGCGTCTGTGTCAGTGTCCAGTGGGAGAGCGGTGTTAAAGCCAACGCCTGAATCACTGGTTTCAAGATTACCAACCCCGACTTCTTTAGAGGAAACCTCCAGACCCTGTTCAGCAAAACAAGTCAAGTTAATTTACTGTAAAACGTGCTAATTTGATATTACAAATTAGAAGTGAGTCTGGGTGCCACAGACATGGCACGGTAATTCAAAAAGAGCATATAAATGTTTTTTAGAAATAGTAAAACAAACTGGAGGATAATAAGAAGCTAAAGTAGCAGAAAGCAGGATACTGTGAGTCACAGTTCAGCAACAGTGCAGTGGGCTCGGGCTTGATGCAGGCTTTTGGTCAGGGTTGAAACATTTAACTCAATAAAAGGCAGAGGCAAACAAATATGTTCAGCCTTAAATTAAAAGAATCAATAATTGGGGCTGGCCTCAGATTTTCTGGGAGTTTGTTGTGATGAATAAAATCTGAAAACTCCTACTTCGTGCCAAGTTTGGAACAACAAGTAAAGCCATCCCAGAAGACCTAGATGCCAGAAAGATTCATAAAACAGGAGCAGATCCATTTACTTTGGTCTTCAATCGTTCAACACTTAAAAACAACCCAAATATCCATTCTTTGTCACACAGGAAGCCACTGCAAAGATCTGAGACCTGGACTGACGTGATCCACTTTCTTGATCTTAGTGGGGGCTCTAGCAGGAGCGTTCTGAATAAGCTGTCTAAACGCAGAAAACAGCATAAAATGGAATCATTATTAAAACTTTTCAGACTTTACTTTGAGGGTAAAATATCAAATTATCTTACTTTGATGTCCACCTCAGTGCTCTGAGATTTCTCTGTGGTATCTGCCTGGGAGTGCTTGGATTCCTCGCTAAGCTTGGTGATGTTCTTCACCACCTGTGAAGATGCAACACAAAGGCACGCAGAAGTGATTAATTACATTGTAATACTCCTTGCTCCTCGCATTTCGTTGTATGTTCAGCCAACCTGTCTGAAAGCCTCTCCCTCGTCTTCTTTGCCAGCGTTCTGAGCAAGTTTTTCCAGGGCTGCAGCCCTCTTGGCCCTCTTCTTCACTTTGATCAGGCAGGACAGCAGACAAGCGAGCAGCAGGAACGTCAGTAGGCCCAACAGGGCAATGATGGCCACATAGAGAGGCTCCAGTTTGTAGGCTGTGGAGGAAAGGAGAAGGAACGTAATTAAATTGACTTTTCACTGACATTTATTCAGGTTCCCCAAAATGATTAGAGCAGAAAAAATATGACTCCCCCTTTGTTGACCCACTGAGTTAATGTCAACATTTATAATCCTCCCAGCAACAGAAATCCAAACTATAGCCTTTAATTTTTCAGCCGGTCCCACTTAGCCCCATCTCTTGCTTACGTTCTAATCCCAGTTGGATGGTGGACACGGTGAATCCCTGCAAGTCTGTAATCTTAAACAGGCCTGCGTCTGAAGCCTTGACCTGGTCCAGAAAAACCACAGAATCCTCCAAAGATATGCGGTCTTCAAACCCCAGCTCTGTCTGGGCCTGGAATAAAAACAGCCAAATCAATGACATAAAAATTGAATTATGTTTAGATTAGCAAAAATGTAATGACCCGATGGCAGGCTCTGAAGTCACAAACAACACATGCTAATTGCAGGAATTCTGAGCTAAACAGATTATAAATATTGATTTGTAATGAATGGGTTAATGAAAGGTTTTTTTCTTAAAATTTAATATTTCTTTGAAATGCTTTGCATATAAGTGATTGTGTGTGCTGTCAAGGGGGTCGAACAATATTGCACGCCCCACTTTTCAGTTTTTTATTTGTTAAAAAAGTTTGACAAATTCAATAAATTTCATTCCACTTCACGACTGTTGTTGATTCTTCACAAAAAAATAAAATTTTATATCTTTATGTTTGAAACCTGAAATGTGACAAAAGGTTGAAAAGTTCAAGGGGGCCGAATACTTTCATAAGGTACTTTATGTATATATAGTCCTTGCCTACCTGCCTGCACCATTGGGTTCACCAGCCAATTGTGACAAAAGTATTAGTCACAATGGTTTTAAGATGTATGAATAAAATAAAACAAAACTTTTTTAGTTACACTGGTAAATTCTCCCTTATCCAGCAGCAGGCGGGGTGAGGAGTCAGAGGCGGGTGTGTAGAAGAGAAGGACCAACGAGCTGTTGAGGATCAGGCTGATCTTCAGTTTTTCTCCGTATGCCACGGTCACAAAGCTTTTGTGCTCTGAGACGAAAGCAGGAAGGACATTCAGTATATAGGCTCTGTTTACAGACTGTAAGTGCATTAATCCCTCAATAACACTTGAGTCTTTAAAAAACCATTACTGCAAGCTGGAGGAAAATAAAATCTACAGCAATAACATCCTGATTGAACACTTTGCTCTGAAAGTCGAGAAGAAAAAATCTGTCTGCATTTGTGTTCTCACCTTTGACATTCAGACACACTTTCTTTTGGATGACGCCTTTGTTATCCCTGACAGTGTAGCTCCCCTCATCTGCACCTGTAACACCACTGAGCGTGACGTAACGCTCGCCGACACTGATGCGCTCTTGATAAGGCTCTGTGGAAGAACCTGCGGCAGTCAGCAGCACAAAAGCCGGTCTGCAGGGAGGAAAGTCGGGGAAAATGAACTTTTCTCAGCCCTTTTCTTGACATCTCACACACACAGCTCAGTGCATGAATGTCAGAAGTGAAAAATGTCAGTATGGATTTGTGAGTTCAAAAGATCACTGAGGTTTTGCTGACTCTACCTAGATGTCTGGTTGGCCTCCACAGCGCTGGGCCTATACTCAAGCGTGATAGGAGAAGTCACCCCCAGCAGTGGAATACTGAATCTGCCTCCATATTTGATGATCTGCTCGATGGTGCAGTCTGGAAGATTAAACCAGGGGATAAACATTTTGGTTAAACAAAAAAGCCACAGAAGTTCAATTCAATTCAAAAATACTTTATTAATCCCAAAGGGAAATTATTTGTTGTTGTAACTTGTTATCCTCATTTCATTAAGAGATGTTATAGATACTGATGGCTGTAGGCAGGAAGAATCTCTTGTAAAGGTCCATCCGACAGTGGATCCTAAGAAACTGGCTGCAGATGCCGTCCGATTTGTCCACCCAGACTTGGCTGGCCTCTCGGTTTCCCCGGGCTGTAGGACCGCCTGAATGCCAGGCAGAACTCCTCCCAGAGTGATGGCCACTCCTCCCAGTAGTCTGCCGAGCTCCTCGTCACTGTGGACAGACAACTGTAGGTGCCGAGGGACGATCCTGTCCTTCCTCTGTCATGAGCCGTGTTTCCTGCTAGTTCCAGGATCTCAGTGGTCAGGCACTCGAGCACAGCTGGCAGGTAGATGAGAATGCATCCACAGAACATCCTTTTCAACTCATTTTAGATTTGGGTCTGTAGCTGAGATATTATTTGAGCCATTGAGATGTTAATCAGCTGCTGTTGGTTGTAGAAAACTGCCTTGTTGCCATGGTTACGCATCATAACAAATGTCCAAAACTAAAAAAGATTCAGTAAAAACCCTTCCTGCTGCACAGCATCCGATACCAGAGGAAACAATCATCAAAAAATGTGATTTACATCCAGAAAAAGAGGAACTAAAGTTTCCAAAAGCAAAATCTCAGAATGAAAGAAACAGAGCTGCTCCAACATGCAGCCACCTTGAGCAGAGCAATTCTAGAAATCAGAGGAGACAGGAAACTGCCTGACAATCAAATAAGAGGCAATAAACAAATTGGTCGAGTAGAGACAAAAAAATGACAGAAATGAACAGTTAGAGGTTGTTCACACTTGTCATTAAAAATCTGTCTCAGATGAATGAGAGCATTCACACCTGGCAGTGAATGTTTGTGATTGAATGTCAGTAGCCCACTCTGTATCCAGACACACAGTGGGCTGTCAGATCAGTATGACAGCAGGCCTGCTGCTGTTTCTGTAGAAATTACACATTTAGACATCTGAACAAGAATGTTTTTTTATATTAACCTTGCTCAAAGCTATTTGAGTCTCATTTTTTGTCAATATCTTTTTATAAGCTTAATTACCACATTTTAGCCCAAAAAAAACTCACCAGTAAACCTACAGCTGTTTTACAGCTGATGTGGACATGAAACCAGTGCAGTGTTGAATCATGTAAATATAAAGAGACACAATGCTGTTCAGACTTTTGTTCTGTAATTGACACAGGATGTTTTAGCTTACAGTGACCACAGAGGGTCTAGAACAACCAGAACAAACATTTAAAGCAAAACTCATCCACCAAGCGTCCTGTGATCCACTGATTGTCATTGTGTGTTTTGTGTCAGGGGATTTTTGTCAAGGTTTATGGACATTTTTAACTAATATGGCTGAGAATGTTAGCTGCCCATGAACCATGTGTTTGAGTTTCCAGAGAGTTGTTTTCTCTCTCAGAGAGAGCTGAATGAGGAGCTGATTTGATCCTGCATGTACAGCTGAATGTGGCCGAGGTCATCTGTGTCAGCCTGAGCCGAGAGCTGATAAGTGTTTAAAAAACAATTCTCACACGCTGCCCGAGGCAGATTTTCATGAATGGGCTCCATGTATGTAGAACTTCTATACATCTGTGTAACCTGTTGTGAAAGTCTGCCCCTGCAAGTAAAACGAGTTAATCTTCTCGTGTCCTCGAGTGTGGCTTCTTTGAGTAAGTAAGATGAATAGAGATATTTTTATCCAACATTTTGTGGCGTTTGTGTCTACTTGTGATTATTTTTAATTTAGTTCTCCGAGTCTGTTTGTGTTTCCAGCTTCCCCCGTGTTTCTCTCCTCTTGTTGCCAGCTCCTGATCCTGACTATCCTCACCAGGTGTTTGTTATTCCCTCTCGTTAGTTTAGTCTTTAAATAACGTCTTTTGTTTGTCCCTCGTCCGTGGATTGTGCTTTCCATAGCCGTCACGCTCTGTTTCCTCCGTGTCTCCTTGATCTCGTGTTTTATGGAAGTTTTACTGCCACGACAGCTTTTGTCTTGTTTCTACTAAAATAAAAAGTTATTCTTTATTTTACTCTTGAGTTCCCTTTGTCTGTCTGCACCTGGTTTCGACTCAACGCAGAGCGTGATACTGGTGAATAAAATGCTGGGAAAAAATGACATTTTTAACGAGGAGGATTCTGATAATAAGTCCAACACTTTTTGTGAAAAACAAAACAAACAAAAAAAGTGTTATTCTCAGAATGTTCTCAAGAATTATGTCTGTTTAGTCATCTTAAATCTGACAGCAGATAAAGAAAAAATTAATATTTTTTATTTTATTGTTCTGAGTGCACGCTCATGCGGTGTCACGTTAGTTCAGTAGGAAGTCCTACATCAAGAATCAGGACAAACTTCATTCTGACTGAGAGACATACAGAAACAAAAGGGGTCCAATCAGTTTTCAATGAGCATCGAGGCTAATCAATCCTGTATTTAGTGATATTCAAACGCAATCAGATTGCTAAACACAGACTGAAGAACCAGGTGTAAACAGGCTCTTAGGAATGAAGGAGTGAGGAGCATGGAAAAGCAAATAAACTTTAAAGAAACAAAGCGATTCAAACATGTCAGGGGAATGGGAATGAAAGGGTAGAGATGTCAAATTAAACAGAAGGAAAGAAAATGGACAAGATAAATGCAGGAAAACAGCAGGGCTGGGAGAAAAGAGGAGTGGGTCGGTTGTTAGAGAGCTCCAAATTATACCCTGCCATCATGCTCACACACACACACACACACACACACACACACACACACACACACACACACATTTATTTATTACCTCACAACACATTACTCCCTCCATGTGTCATTTCTTCAACTAATTACTTGACTACAGTTGCTTTTATCTTCTCCCTCTACGTTTGAATTATTCACACATATTCCCAAGTGAGTTTGAGATTTATCTAGATGACTATGACTGAACTGAATAATACTAATATGGTCATTTTTAATCTGGTCAGCCATCGTTTATAAAGCAGACGTTACATTTTGATGTCAAGTGGCAGGTCATGTTTACATGATTGTTCCTAATTATTATTATTTTTTAGATATATATTCCAATCAAAATGGATGCTGTAATATTGTACATTTTAACGTCTTCATTTGGTAAATGGTTCAAAGAGTAATAGGTTCATAACTGATTGATCTTACAGGACAAATAAACTTTTTGGGTTCGTAAATGGTGTTAACTATAATATCTAAAACGTAAGTTGGAGATTACATTCACAGATTTTAAATGTGTTAAAGCCTTTGGAAGTTAGATGTAAAAAGAACACAATCTGGAGTAATCTCAAAACTAAACATCAGATGTATGAATCCATCTGAGACTAAACTCCTCTGCAAATTATTTAAAAAAATGACAGATTGGATTTGGATGTGGGTCAAAATAAAATGTTTTTAATTTAAACGTTTCTACAAAAATGCAGTTTAGATTAATAATTTAAGGAAATATCATATTCTTTATTATAAGTTTTTCATTGAGTGTGTGGAGCAATTGCATTTCCTGCGAAAATGCAGTGCGAATGCTTATTGCTGAATAACTTGCTGACAAACAGGTGAAGCTAAGACATGCTGAAATATAGCTGACATGGACGAACAAGCCTCAGTTAGCAGAAGAAAGCAGAAATAACACATACAGTATTTGCTGAAGTTGGTTTAAATAAGCAGAAATGAGCACAAAAACTAGTAAATTAGCTAAAAAATCTGAAATTGGCCAAAAAAGCTGAAAAGTAGCTGAAAAGGCAGAAAAAAAACTTAAAATGCCAGAAGAAAGTGGACAGAACACAATTGTGCCCAATTAGGCTTAAAGAAGCATAAATGAGCACAAAAAAGGGAAGATATTTGAAAAAAGCAGAAACCCTTCCCACACAAAAAAAAAACCAGCTGAATACTAGCTAAAAAGTAGATTGAAGATTAAATTAGCAAAAGGAAGTTGAGGGAGCACAATTGTGCTCAGTTAGACTGAAAGAAGCAGAAATGAGTGCAAAAAAGTGGAAATTATCTGAAAAAACAGAAATTTTCAAAAAGCAGCTGAATAATAGCTAAAAAACAGAAAGAAGCTTAAATTACCAGAAGGAAGTGGAGACAGCACATTTTTTGCTGAATTAGGTTGAGAAGAGTTGAAATGAGTGCAAAATGTAGAATTAGCAGAAAAAGCTAAAAATTAGCATCAAACAGCTAAATACTAGCTGGAATTGCAGAAAAAGCTGAAACTTGCTGAAATAAGCTGAAAGGAGCACAACAAGGTGAAAATAGCAGAAAGAAGTTAGAGGAAGCACCAAAATGTGGTTTGCAGAATAGAGCAGAAAGCACAAAACAGCTGAAATTAGTTGAAAGTAGCTGGAAAAAAGATTAAATTTGCACAAGAAAGCTGAAAGAAGCTGAACCATAACAAAATGTGAAAGGAGCAGTAAAAGGTTGAAAACCTAAAGAAATTAAAGATGTAAAATGAGCTCAATTCATTTTCTATGAGGAAAAAAAGTGTCAGAAAAGGCTAAATATTTCAAAAAGCTAAAGTTGCACCAATACCAAAAGTCATAGCAGGATTGTCCTGAAAGAGCTGAACATTTTTGAACTATTTGTTGAAATAGCACAAAAATTGTGGAACGAGAAAGATGCAGAAAAACGTTTGGTAGAAAAATAGATCACAGTAGTGTGAATGCTTCATACACATTCACACAATTAAGGAACTGAAATAGTCAAGTATCCTTTGTAGTTTAAGAGTTTTACAAGATTTATATAAATTAGGAATTATAATTGGTGCATCTACAGCTTCATATTCTGAACTGTGCTTTGTGTCTCTTTCTAACCCTTTATTACAGTTCCTAATGTGCCGTGTTCAGTACCTCGGACTATAAGTGATATTTGTTTGACGTCATCTGGATTTTGGGGATTCTTCATCGTGTACAGCCCCTCGTCCCCCTCACCCACAGCTTCTATAATGAGGTGATTGAGGTGTAAGTTTGGTTTGGCCCGACTGCCAACCACTTTGCCCCCCCTCATCAACACCACTGGCGGCTTCCGAGGGTCCGAGCGGTTCTTGAATGTGACCTCCACCTCATGCGACGACAGCAGGATGTGAAAATCCTCCCCGTGGAATAACGTCATCGACTCTTCATCACCTGCGTGAGAGGATGCAAACATTTACAGTAAGAGGAAAACTCAGAGGTGACGAGTCAGAATCATGAGTGTCATTCTGATACCCAATACTTTTACCTTTTAGAGGCGCAGAAATGGCTGCAAGAAGAAATAAAATACAAATTAAAGGTGTGAAAATAAATATTATTGTAAACTGCATTTATTTTGTGTTTATTATTTCCTGCCTTTGCGGCTCATGACAAAGGTAATAAATATTTTTAATCCAGACATTTATATAGGTTTTAATCAGATATGAATTAATCTTATTGTGTAAATAATGACTATTATTTGCATGATCAACCTGAACTCAAACTGAGAAATTATTAAAAACATTTGTTTTTTAAGCAAATAACCATTAGAAACATGACAATACAATAATTTTGATGAAGAACATGTTTTCTTGACATACCTGCAGTGAAGAGAAAACTTAACATAACCACGTTGACTATCATCCTGGCAGATTATTTTAGGCCTACAAAGAAAAAAATCAAAAATGTTCAGATGAATCAGAATAAAATAATTTATTTTCTTGAAAGCTACATGTAGAAAAATGTTATACTTGTTTGCTTTTATGCTGGAAATGGCTTGGACTCATTATCAAAACCCAAAACATGTTAAGAACCAATACACATCACTAAACTGAATCCAAAGCCTTTTGATTTCTTGTTTCTTACCATTCACAACATATTAGGGACAACATTGTTCAGTTAAACAGGGAGGTAATTAATCAATGAGTTAAAAATAACAAACACTCAGTGCTAATCTTAGATTAGAGTAAAATTATTAAAATGGGAGTAATTTTCTGAAACACTTCTTTATTTGCCATTAATAAGAGTACTTGTCCTCTAAAGTTAGGGGTCGGGACAGGGCCGGCCCAAGGCATAAGCAAACTAAGGGCCCCGAGGCTAATGGGGGCACCCTAAGTGGAATAGATTTTGTTTTTGGTAATTATTTCTATATGATTTTATTACACACAATTTCATTATAATGTTGTGATTTTTTTTTTTTTTTTAACAATAATACATACATCAGCATATCACGTACTTGGGGAAAACAATACAAAATGAGCTGATATAACCTGTGTGTAAGTGATAAAATTGTGGCAAAACAGTAAAACCGTTGTGTGCTTCAATATTACTTTAATCAGTCAAATCAAATCAGTTTTTAAATTTATAATGACAAAATATCCAAACATAAAATGTTTAATTTTTTACAAGTCATCAAACGCAGAGAAAGTTACATTTTACCAATTTGTTAGGTAGTTTTATCAATACAATCTGCCATGTCCGGCCTTTTGAGGACATTCATGAGCTTGATGTGGCACAAAATGAAAATGAGTTTGACGCCCCTGCACTAGATGATATATACATATAAACAGGGCTGTCAGAGTTGCAATGACTTTATGTTAGGTGGGTGAATGATCTGATCATCTGACTGTTTATTGCAGTAATTCACATTATTAGCAGAAATAGAGGGCCCCAAACCAAATTTCGCTTAGGGTCCCATGGAGGCTTGGGACGGCACTGGGTCAAGAACACATTTTGCGTTATGAAAACCAAGATCTACAGAAATCAAATTAACTTTACAAATGTTTGCCAATATAGTATTTAGCCTTAATTGTTACAGCTAAATCAAAACTGTCATCATAAATGGATACAGTTTATATAATGGTTAACTAGACTATGTTAAATGGTTTATTGATGACCTTTGTTTGCTTGTTGGGGTCATGACACTTGGCGACTTTTATTTTGTTGGATAAAAACAGAAAACTTTGAGAACCAATAATCTAAAACAAAAACATGTTCTATAATCTTTCAAATTGTTCCCTTAAAGCTTCAAAGCTTAATGAATCATTTGAACAATCAGTGCAGATTGTAATAAAAGTAACATGTTCTAGTAAAGGGCAGCACGGTGGCGCAACTGGTAGAGCTGCTGCCTCTCAGCGAGCAGGTCCCTGGTTCAAATCCTGGTCCGGGGACCTTTCTGGGTGGAGTTTGCATGTTCTCTCCGTGCATGCGTGGGTTTTCTCCAGGCACTCCGGTTTCCTCCCACAGGCCAAAAACATGCATGTTAGGCTGATTGGTAACTCTAAGAGAGTGGATGGTTGTGTGTCCCTGTGATGGACTGGAGACCTGTCCAGGGTGTCCCCCGCCTCTCACACAGTGATGGCTGGATATGGGCACCAGTGACCCCCGTGACCCAAAAAGGAGGAAGCGGGTAACGATAATGGATGGATGGATCTTCTAATAAATCTCACGGTGACTTTTAATAAATTATTTCAGCAGGAAATGTTAATAAAGAAAATAAAGGTTTGTTGTGCTTGAGCAAAGAAAAAAACACATTGTATAATTATGACTCTACAAAGTAGAGTATTTTTATTCTAAACACTTCTGAATGCACACATTTCTTTTTTTTTTTTTTCTCCATTCGCCTATACGATATTTAATCTCTGCAGGGAATCTTGTAATTTTTACAGATTCAGCTCAGTATATTCAGATTATTGTTGGTCACCAGGAATAGAATCCGTCTGAGTTCCTACTTTTGCTGAGTAAGCCGTTTTGACTAAATACGATGGACTTTTAGGAGCGTGTGCATGTCCATGAGGTCATCTGGCTTTGTCTCGTTGTCACACAATGTTTATTTATGACATGCATACTTTTTAACCCTCAGAATAATCCATGCACCTCAGAATAAATCTGGGAGGCATTGTAATGACTCAGCTGAATTTAAAATAGAAAGCCGTCTGGAGCAATAGGAGCAGCAGGTTTGCCTTAGAAGAATTTCGGAGGATTATGATGATGCTGCAGAGGCATCTGAGGGCTTTGTACCAAGGAGAGTTTGCTGCAGTTGTCCCCCTCACAAAGCCCAGGAGGGGACTGGAAGGTAACACCTGCAGTGCTTGCAGTCACACTTTGCGGCAGCCATTAAATATGCGGTAAAGATTAAAGTGTCTCCTTGCAACAGAGGAGACGTCATAAGAGGACGATGACGATGAAGCACTGAGCAGTCTCTATGGATCTCTGTTCCCATCTTTTTAATATCTGCCATCAGCTTGTAAACATGTGACAGACTGCCAAAAAGCAACAACAAACCTCTGTTGTTAACTGTTATTTAATAAGAAAAGGAGCGATTCAACGATGTCATAATGTGACAGCTAGAATCACAGTTTCACACTCAGCCTCTGCACTCTGAGCCGAGTGTAGCCCATTGATTTTATTGTCTCCGGAGCAAAACTGGCTCCTAAACATCAGCGGCCAAACCCATCTCTCACGTTTTATTCATGCTGTCCCATATTTCTGTGCTTTTAATGTTCTTAAAGTTGAAGTTGCAGCTTGATGGACTGACTGAAATGATTTCTGACCTGTGTTTGAAGTCAGCGTTTAATTAACGCAGCAATCCGAGGTGCAGGAATGGTTGGCTGTGATATAAGAGAGAAAGGAACCGAGTCCATCTGTTTGTCACAGCAGTTGGCCTCGTTGACAATCTGGCATTTCAAAGCAAAGATTCATAAGCAAAAAATAAATCCTAATTTATTTTCTTTTTGGCCCTGTTCATGGTTAAGGTTAAATGTGAATCTTTAGTCTGAACACAGTGTAGTTTTCAGACAAATTAATGCCAGAACTCAGTTATAATTTTAGTTATTTGTCATCCCCATACAAAAATGCATTTCACTTTTATCTTTTTCATTCACTCGACAACGAAAGGCTGCGTTAAAGCACAAGAAGAGGGCTGTAACTCAGTACGTTTTACAGATACTGAGCTGTCATTTGGGGTGGTAGTAGCTGAGACTAATATCACATTATAACACATATAATGAGTGCTGAAAGATTGAAGAAGGTCTTTGGTTCAAATTTTGCCATTATCTATATGCAGTTAACTTTATGATCTCATCAGCCACTGGACACATTTTACTAAAATAATATTGAGCTAAAATTTAATGTGTTAGTAGATGAGTCATACCCAATACATCTTCAAAGCACTAAACACTGCAAAGTATCTTTATTTAAAACTTTTGCACAAACTGCTTGAGTCAGGTCTGTTAGTCTTTAACCAGAACATCTCAAGAACAATTTTTAATTTTACTAAGGTAGCAATGACTGGATGGACATCTAGCTGTTGGAGCCAATCCATTTGGAAATTGTTGCCACGGATAATCAACAGCCGACACAAAAATGGCTATAACTGAGCCATTTTCACAAGGATTGAGCTAAAGTGTTTTGTGTTACTAGATAAGACTGAGCATGGCATTTTGTGATATTGCATGAGATTATGCTCAATACTGTCTGTGAGGTTTGAGCAAAGCGACAACAGCTCGGTCATTTATTTTCCTTGTTTTATGATTTAGTCAGTGCTTTTCTATCTAAGTTTATCTTTGCTGTCTCACTTTCGCCATCTTTGTCACTAAAGTTGTGATTTTCTACCACCACCACCATTCAGGACCCCCTGTTGCCATCTTCAGTATTTCCAAGCATTAATTTCTTATCATCTTTCTTACAAAAGGTCCTTCCATCATGGCTTCCTGTCTTTCCCCATGTTTCCCTCTGACTCTCTCTCTTCATCACATCCCTTTCATCCTCTCCTCCTCCTTGACTGACTCAATCCAAGCCAGTGCACCCCACTCTGAAATCAAAGCCTGCGCCTGTGTTTCCTCAAACTCCAATCTCCCTGCACGCCGAGGGGGACAGACAGGCCTTTGTCCCCCGGCATTCAGTGGGGCGGAAACACATTCAGTGACTGCAGATGTGGGCAAACCTACAAAGCAAACTCTGTCCCTTCATCATTTCTCATTCGTTTTCACCTTACACTTTTTTTTTCACGGTGAGGACACGAGGTCAAGTCCTCCTATATGATGTGAAGGGGTAGTGAGCTCTGAAGCACAAACCGTTCCCATTTATAAATCATGAGAAAGGAAAAAGGAAAAGAAAGAAAATGTTGCATCACAAATGTGCATCAACTTCTCTAATGTGTCAGCAGAGACACACACACAGAGAATCTTCTGGCCAAATGATTTCTGAAGTCCACCCTTCAGATAAAGCCTGTTAGAAGCTGACATGCTATTTTCGTCCAGCTGCAGTGAACTAAACAACATGTTTCCACCATATTGCTTGCACCTGTCAGATCCATTAAAATCAATGGGCATGAGGGGAGAGTGGGGAGGGGGTTAGGGGAGCTATGTGCTGCAACAAACAAATAAACAAACAAACAAGCAGAAAATGTAAGTTTAAGCACTTGCTTAATGTGTATGCAAATAAAACGGCATAATCTAATAAAAGGCTAAAGGGACTTTTCTGCTGTTGTTTTGGCCATGCATGCAGCTCTGGTCTCTGCAGATGGAAAAACACAGCCAGAGGACTAATGCATATGATTTACATTAGGCCATATTAATAACTTATGTCAGAAGAATGTCACCTCAGGAGAATCACATAGAGATGAAAATAATAAATAATAAATTCTAAAATGCTTCATTTTCAGTCATAATTACCATTTAATAGCATTTTATTGTTTAAAATACACATGACATGAGGAATTCAAATGCAATTAAGGTAACTGGTGTAATTAATAAATAAATAAGCCTGGACTCTTTAAAATGTGCTTAATTTCTGTGATAAAACTGCAGCTCTGAGTGTTGGATCAGTCACATCCGAGCCCGGACCAGCATCACAGACTGAAAAACTGCAGAATTTAACCCGTCACGCACCGAGACCCGCATCCCCCGCATGCAGCCTATGTTTGGTCCTCAGGAGGGAAGACAAGATAAATAAATAAATGACTGGACGTCTGCTCTGCGGCTCACCTACCTTCAGCTGGCCGGTGGAGATGCGCTGCAGTCAGTGCGTGCAGGTGGAAAAATCCGCCTGTTTCTGCCTCGTCGTCTCCCTCCCCTTTCAGCGTCGCCCCCCCTTGAAGAGCTGCACTTCACCACGGCTCGGTCGGACTCTCGGAACCACTCGACTCGTGTCGGGTAACACCGGGACAAATCAGACCTAATCAGACTTCAAAGCTGTGATGACACAATAATCAGAAGCAATTACTAATTTGAACTACTACTACCGTGATGCATTGCTTCAATTAGTCTCGTGTCTAATCTATTTTTATTGACAGCTTGCTTATTATTATTGTTGTATTAGTGGGAAATGTTTTTTTTTTTTTTACAAAACAAGAAAAAATATCAGTGCAACAAAACTTCAATCTTATGTTTTATTCAAATTAATAGAAAATGTCTAAATGAAGTGGAAACAAGTTCAGCGGAACTATCTAAAATTTCAAAACAACTTGCAATTTGTGTAGTTCAACTTAAACAGATATTTCAGATCTTTTGAAAGGAATTTCGGACAAAAAGGATGAAAATCTCACCTGTTGTAGATAGCTCTTTAAATGACGTCCAAATTGAAGACATTAATCTGAATAAACTGAAAGATTAATCTGAACAAGATACATTTATTTTAAACTATAGCTAGCAGCTAATCTGAATGAAAACTAAATCTGAACATAGTCTGAAAAGGAGCTAAGCTATTCAAATAAAAGCTAACAACTATTCTGAAAAGAAGCAAAATCTAGACCAAATAAAAGCTGACAGCTAGTCTGAAAAGAAGCTAAAGGCTAGTCCAAATACAGCTAGTCTGAAAAGAATAAAGTATAGTCCAAATAAAAGCTGACAGCCAGTCTGAAAAGAAGCTAAAGGCTAGTCCAAATAAAAGCTAA